AACCCATACACATGCATTAAGTCCTTACCTCACAAAATCGGGATCCGGTTTGTGAGGCTAAAACCGCGTCGTCGAGATAATCAGTGTGATCCAATAGCTCCAAACACGTTGTTTTACTGAGCAGTACAATTCTCTGTTCTTTCGTTAGTAAGGAAACCTGAGACTCTTGCAGCAAAGTGTTGGTAAAAAGCATACTCAATGCCCTTTTGTTCGATGACTAAGGAAATATAATTAATTTTTCCTGCACGGAGCGCGAGGACTGAATTGCACAGCTTCGTTTTGTCTTTTGGTTTTTCTTTATTACCTTTCCTTTCGTTATAAGCAGCGAAGATGCAACGTTAGGACAAAGAAAAGTTTTAACAGTGCTATGAACTCCCTGTGACGGTAGTATATATAGGTTGACAGAACGAAAGAGGGGCTAGACATGCAGAAGCTGCTTTACATAAAGAGACGACCCAAAGATTGTTGCACCATAAATGCAACCGACAGCAATTATTTTGTAGCAGACATCACTATTGGAAAGGACTTTATGGTAATCAAACACGCGCATAAATTCCGATCACCAGATTTTCAAAGAAAAACAAAAATCGTTAAATCCCATGAGGTGTTGATGTGAATATCAATAACTAATTAAGTATTCTTAATTATTGGGTATTAACTAACATATATGTGGATAGTGTAAAAATACGCTCCGGATTGACATGATATTAAATAAAGAACGTGATTAACGTATTGTGAATTGCATTATTAAAATATTATCCCACGTCATTTGATAATGAATTTTATATACTTTTTATATTCATGCGACTTCCCTCCATCTATTAGCTTAAACTTTTGAGTTGAATATTCTAATATGATATTAGAGTCAGTACTATCCCTTTGGCATATGTACGACATGCCGCACGCATAATCTAGTTTTTGTCGTGAAACTTTGATGGATCAAGACACCACACCATGTTGCGTTTCACTAGTGCATGATGTCTCATGCCTAACGTGTTGATGTGAATGTCAATAACCAATTAAGTATTGTTAATTATTAGGTATTAACTAACGTATATGTAGATGGTGTGAAAATAAGGACACTCCGAACTGATATGATATTACGTAAGGAACGTGATTGCAAATTGTATAATGTCGATTTTGTCCTAAAACTTTGATGGGTACACGACAAGACACTACACTATCTTGTGTTTCGTTAGTCCATGATGTCCCATGAGGTGCAATAAATGGGACCATCCTAGTGCCGGCAAAAGTACTTTGCTCCTTCTATTATATTACTTGTTTTGATACATTTTCATATGCTTTGCATTTTTTTCAACTACTCTAAATTCGACACTCCTCATTCAATCGTGATTTTTGGCCAGCATGACCACTAGTATTTTAAGCCTATCAAAAACATAAATACGTAGCTACGTACATAGGCATCATAATAGATATGCACATTAATTTCAAATATCCGTTCCCGGCGGTTCAATCTACGCGATCTTTATTAAGAACCTCTAAAAAACTTTCGGGATAGCAAATAACCCGTGTCTTTGGCATGTTAAGAATAGTAATACGTATAGATTTGAGTCCAAATTTTTCTAAGATTAAAAGATGTACAATGAACAACTTTTTTATCAAACCTTTAGAGAGGAGAAAATAATAGATATGTAATGAATTTGTACCTTTTTCATTTATGTCCAAAAATATTTGGTGTTTTGCAACAACTTATCATTAAAAAATTCGAGACACGACTTATATATATATATGATAATCTACGTATCAGATGTAGCTAGCTAATAACATATTTTTCATGGAAAAACAGAAAAACAAAAAACATAACCTCCTCACCTTATAAGCTTAGAAGTACATAGATGACTTCAAAGACATCAGATTAACATAGGGTCGACAAAGAAGGTTTTTTGATACCGATACGGTAACTATGTTACACTCCTTGTTAATTTAATTCTAAAATTAAACGGCCCATGCATATCAAATAAAGGCAAAAGTAAGTGTGTTGTAATGTGAATCCAAATCTGCATTTATGTCGAGATCAACTTGTATTATCATATGGTGCACTAGGATTTAACGTATTCTGTCATATCAAATATTGAAAACTACATAAAAACTGTATATTTTCAGACAATTGCATGAAAAATAGTTAAGGGAAAAATACATAAAAATATATATGAAAGAGGGAATAAAAGGTGGAAGTAGATGAAGGGGATATTAGCATTGGAAGCTACACTCCCTTAATTATACGTGGTCAACAAATTAGTCAACCTGCCCACTTTCATGTATTTAGATTGTTGAAGTGTGCCTTTCTGCGAAATAATTTATGTAAGTATGTACTTCCTCTTAATTTTTGTTTTTTTTTTTGTAAAAGGGGATCAATCGAAAAAATAGTGAAATATATTTATACTAATGTGATCCATGCAACTGGAATTCGGTCCATCTCAAGGTTTTTTCCCTACTTTTTTGGACAGAAGAATTATACCAATTTCATTACAACAAACACGGGATATGTTTACTAAAAGTCCTAAAACTTGTCACAAAAGTGCCATTGAGTCCTAAAACTTGCAAAAGGTGCAATCAAGTCCTAAAACTTATCAAATTGATTCAATCGAGTCCTAAAGTTTTGTGATAAGTTTTAGGATTTGTAGTGAATATATCATGCAACAAACAATCACGAAGAACATCGTGAAGTGAAAAGTCATTTCAGTGTAAATCATGGCCCGTTAATCCAAGATAAAGCCCTTCCCCACCGTGTAAAAAGCCCAAACCCAAATGCAAGCCCATTGAAATACTCTCTTTTTTTTCTAAATTTTACAAGTGCAAATGAAACTCAAGGTCCGACAGGAATTTGAGCCCAACTTTATTTATACCCAGAAGGCCAGGACAACCCTAGAGCTCAAATGAGAAATGATAAATATAAGTGAAGTACCACTTAAAACAAATGAACAAAATAATCTACAAAAGTATAATTTACTATAAGCTTCATTGGATAAGTGGCTCGAACGTGAAATTATTTGCACTTTCCGGGGCGGGAAATCGAGCATGTGTTTTGCTCTAATCTTTAGGCAAAACTCCATTCCTTAACTAAGCCAATGCCATGGAATGAAAGTGGACTTCCCATTTAGCAATTGCCTATTGATTCGAAGAAGGAATCAAGTCGATTGGGTCACCATGATTAAGGCTCCGTTTATTTTGTAGAAAACAACTTCCAAGAAGATATTTTTCGGCGTTGGGTTCACGAAAAATATATGAGTCAAGGAAAATATTTTCCTACCTTCAAAAGTGGGGAAAATGATTTCCTCAGGCGGCCATCGCCTAGGTCATACGACCTCGCTAGCCTCTCGCCGGCCCTTTGCCGTCCCGATCCAGTGTCATCAACCCTCGCCAGCCGCCCTCGCACAAAAAAGATAAATAGTAACAACAAGGGGCAAAACCAGAATATTAAAGAATAAGTGAGGGTAGTTTGGGAAGAAAAAAATTGGTTTCGGCATTTGCCAAATGCTGAAAGCCCAAAGCTGGTCCAAACCAGCTTTTGAGTTTTGAGCATTTCCAATGCTGCCTTTCGACCTAAAGTCCATCGGGAATGCTTGCTAAACGCCCCAGCATTTCCCTAAGGGATTTTCGAGGCCAAAACCCCTTAGGAATGCTGAACCAAACGAGGCCTACACCCAATTCAATTAGGATGTCAAGTCCCTTGAGTAAGACATACAAATCACTTTAACATAATAACTTATATGGTTCTGTCATGACCATTATTTGGAGATAGGATTACCTCTTGAACGGGGAAAATACCAAAAAAAAGTCACCAACCCATTGCACCGGTGTCAATTCGGTCCTAAACATTTTAATTGTACCAATTGAGTCCTAAACATTTTGATAATTTACCAATATAGTCCATCATGCCAATTTTGATAGAAAATCGCAGACATGAATACTAATCGACTACATGACACGAATGATGCTGACTTAGACAAAATTTACGAATTTCAATATTTTTAATATTTTTTAATTTTATTTTTTTTCCATTGTGGCTGGCGAGGGCAATCCTTGCCCAGCCGCGAGAGTCAAGCCCTCGCTAGAGGCCGTGAGGGCGGCCCTCGCCCAGGCCGTGAGAGTCGAGGCCTCGCCAAAGCCAAAAACTCTATAAAACATCCCAAAGTAACCAGTATAATTTAGGATTCTCCACCCATCACTTGTCGTTCTTGCACCAAATCCCTAATAATGACATTTGTCAGTAAATTCACGAAAATAACATAAACAAAGAATCCATATTTGACGAAATAAGTTCAAAACAAAATAGGAAAAATACCACAAAAAAGCCAAACTATGTCACTTGTGACAAATTTACCCCGAACTTTTTTTGTAACACGAAAAACCTCTAATTATGCCATTTGTGACAAATTTACTCTGAACTTTTTTTTGTGACACAAAAAACTCCAAACTATGCCACTTGTGACACATTTACCTCGTAATACTTTGGCCCAAGGACATTTTCATTTTTTTTCCTTTCTTTCATCTTCCCTCCGCCGGCCATGGCGGAAAGTTTAGGGCAAATTTGTCATAAGTGACATAGTTTAGAGTTTTTCGTGTCACAAAAAAAAGTTCAAGATAAATTTGTCATAAGTGACATAATTTGAGGTTTTTTTGTAGTATTTTCCCAACAAAATACGAACATCGGTCTCGTATGCCAAAAGAAAGGAAAAAACCGAAGCTGCAGATCCCATACTTGTTACGGCGAAACCGCAATACCACCCTGTTGACGACGGAACTGTAGAAGAACAAGAACTCCTGCAACTGCAACCCCTGTTCTCTCTCTCCCTCTCTCTCTCTAAAAGACACTGGACATTGAACAGTGAATCCGTGAGCTTCCATCACCAACGATTGGATCCCCACCCGTGACTCCAATTCCTCTCGTGAACTCATCTTTTTCCCCCATCGACCCACCATCCCATTCTCTCTCTCTCTTTCCGCCATATAATTCCAGTCTACCAAATCACACCCTTCCAAAATCAACGCCCCCTCCCCCGCCCTGAACCATAACGCCATGACACTCACCTACGCCTCCAACAAGAGATCACCTATAAAACCCACCTCCTCCTCTCTCCCGCTCCCCTTCAAGCCCACCTCTTTCCTCTGCATCTCCATGGCCTCCCTCTCCCTCCTCTCCCTCCTCTCCCTCTCCCTCCTCCTCCTCCTCTCCTCCTCGTCCTCCTCCTCCGCCCGCCACACCCACCTCCCCAAACCTCCCCCTGCCCCGCATTCCACTCCTTCCTCTTCCCCTTCGTCCCCGGAGATCCAGCAGGCCTGCAAGTCCACCAGATTCCCCGACCTCTGCGCCTCCCAGCCCTACCGCCTCCCCCCCGCCCCCTCCTCCCTGGACCTCATCCTCTCCGCCCTCCAGATCTCCTCCGACCGCCTCGCCACCGCCCAGTCCATGGTCGACTCCATCCTCTCCTCCTCCGCCGGCAACATCAACCGCACCACCGCCGCCAGGAACTGCGTCGAGCACCTCGCCAACTCCCGCCGCCGGACGGATTCGGCGGCGGGTAACGCGATCCCGGGCGGCCGCACCAAGGACGCCCGCGCCTGGCTTTCAGCCGCCCTGCTCTACCAGTACGACTGCTGGTCCGCCCTCAAGTACGCCAACGACACGAGCCAGGTCGACCAGACCATGGCGTTCCTGAACACGCTGACGATGCTGACCAGCAACGCCCTCAGCATGCTCGTCTCGTACGACCGGTTCGGGAAGGGCACGGCGGTGTGGCGTCCCCCGGCGACGGAGCGCGACGGGTTCTGGGAGGACGGCCTCGACGGCGGCGGCGGCGGGGGCGGGGCGTCGTCGGGCCTGGGGTTCGATGGCGGGGTCCCCCCGGGCCTCACGGCGGACGCGACGGTGTGCAAGGACGGGGGCAGCGGATGCTACGCGACGGTGCAGGACGCCGTCGACGCCGCGCCGGCGAACGGCGGCGGCGGAGGGAAGAGGTTCGTGATCCACATCAAGGAAGGGGTGTACGAGGAGACGGTCAGGGTTCCGTTCGAGAAGAAGAACGTGGTGTTCTTGGGGGACGGCATGGGCAAAACCGTCATCACGGGGTCGTCAAACGTGGGGCAACCTGGGATTTCCACCTACAACACTGCCACCGTCGGTGAGTCTTTGTCACATACTTACGTTCCTAGGAAGAATGTTCTCAATCAAATTTAGTACTCATCGATAGTAAATTTTGTAAGCAATCTTATGGTACTTTACTATTGATTCGCCTCCTAATTTTACGTAGACGCTGACAAGATCTAATAGGAATTGTTCTTAATTCAAGCTGGCGTGTGATAGTTGTCCATAGAGTAACCATTAATTCTTGTCGGGACATGGCATGTGCCGCGAAGCTTGTCCAATGTGAACTGAAGTCGACATTGTGTGCTATTTGCAATTTGTGGAGGACCATTCATCTGATTAGCATTGACGAATTTGTTGCAGGAGTGCTCGGCGACGGATTCATGGCAAGCGGGCTCACGATCCAGAACACCGCGGGTCCGGACGCCCACCAGGCGGTGGCGTTCCTGTCGGACAGCGACTTCTCGGTCGTGGAGAACTGCGAGTTCCTAGGGAACCAAGACACGCTCTACGCCCACTCCCTCCGGCAGTACTACAAGTCCTGCCGCATTGAGGGCAACGTGGACTTCATCTTTGGGAACTCGGCCTCCTACTTCGAGGACTGCCAGATCCTGGTCCGCCCCCGGCAGGTCAAGCCCGAGAAGGGTGAGAACAACGCGGTCACGGCCCACGGCCGGACCGACCCCGCGCAGTCGACGGGCTTCGTGTTCAACAACTGCTTGGTCAACGGCACCGAGGAGTACATGGCGTTGTACCGGAGCAAGCAACAAGTGCACAAGGACTTCCTGGGGAGGCCGTGGAAGGAGTACTCGAGGACGGTCTTCATCGGGTGCAACCTTGAGGCCCTGATCACGCCTCAGGGCTGGATGTCGTGGAGCGGAGATTTCGCCCTGAAGACCCTCTACTACGGGGAGTTCAAGAACACTGGGCCAGGGTCCGACACGTCGAGCAGAGTGTCGTGGAGTAGTCAGGTCCCGGCCGAACATGTTGATACGTACTCGGTGAAGAGTTTCATTCAAGGAGATGAGTGGATTCCGACATCTTCTTGATCCGAGATGATAAAGAGAAAGTTAATAAGGTCAAGATTTCTAGTTTAGAGACGAGTGAGATGGGGAGTTTTTTGAACCCACGACACTGCAGTTCTCACCCGTTTGATGTGCATGAAAGCTATCAAAATTGTGTAGTTTCATTGAATCAAATAGTGGCATCGGCTGTTTTGGTCAAGTTACCATTCTGGGTGAGTGAAATTACATTGTCTGTCGAAGGATGTTTTCGGTTCATGTATAGAGCAGGCAAGCAGAGTTTGGTTCTGTAGACCTTTTCCTTCTATGCTTTTTCTGATCCGATGATTATTAATGTCTTGTACCTCTTGGTCTCTCGTTGCTGGATGCAACTGTTTGTGTCTCAAGCAAGTTCCCACAATGATTCCAATGTAGTTGCAACATGTAAACTCAAGCCCACTCGGTATCAATGACTACTGCAAAGTTGTCTGTACATGGCGTGATGTGCTGATGTTTACATTATCTGTTCCGCCGATGGCACTAGACCGACCACTGCTGGTACACTCGGTAGTGGGAGCATGGGACTTCTTGCTTTGGTGACATGGGAAAGCATTCATCTTGCTTGACTTGTAGGCAAAGATAAAAGGTCAATAATGATCGGTTCATTCATTCGTGGCCACAGAAAGTTGCGGGGATTGGAAATTGGGTATAGGAAGAGGCCATGTTTTTCCCCCTGAAAAGAATGCGAAATGGCTCTTTCTGAGATGCGCATGAAGAAGGGTTAGGAAATTGCTGGTGGCAGGAGCACTTGTGGGAATTGACAGAAATGTTGGACTGCTCCTTCCGTCCAACACTTCTCTAACATGTCCCAAGTGTCATTTGAGTCAGAAGTTGTCCGTTTGCAATTAGGGCGCCAATTATAATAATTGTGTTCCAGAAATCAATTTCTGACCAGAAACAGATTTTTCTATTTCTATTCAATGAACGATTTTTTAGCCAAAATATACGTTTGATAACAACACAAAATTTCTGTTCCTGAAATAGAAATTTGTTTAATAACGATACAAAATTTCTCTCTCCCGGATGGGCGACGGCGGGAGGTGGCTGGCGTTAGGCGACGGTGGAGGGCGGAGGACAGTGGCGGTGGACAGCAGTGGCTAACGGTGGGAGGCAGCGGGCAACAGATGACGACAGACAGCGGGCGACAGCAGGCGACGGCGGACAGTGACGGACAGCAGCTAACGACGACAGGCAGTAGGTGGGGCCGACGGTGAGCGGTGGGTGGGTGGGTGGCCCGGCCAGTAGAGAAAGCAAGCAATGAGAAGAGTTTTTATTTCTCATTTCTGTTCCAAAAATAGAAAAGTATAAATTTTTACTTCTAATTTATGTTCCAAACCTATTTCTAGAGTAAAAATTTATTCTAAAAATAGAAAGAAGAAATTGCGTTAACAAAAAAAAATTTATTCCAAACCTACTTTCGAAAATAGAAAAATAGAAAAATAGAGAAATATAATGATTATCACGCGCGCTCTCAATATACGAGACTCTACACCTTGGGTCATGGCATGGTGTCGTCATGGGCTCCCAATCGCATGAATCATCTCGCAACGTGTTACCTCAACGCCATTCCTCTTCAATTCCGCTATTCTTAAATAAAGGCTTTATCCTATAAATAGATGTCCAGCTACTTCCTTATGATCACATAAAAGCACACGGCGGCTTTCTTGAGGTTTCCTAATAGAAGCAAGTTCAAAGTTACGATGAATTAGCTAACGAATTGATTAGAAGAATGATTCTTGAATAAGGCGAAACTCCGAAAGGCCTCGTCGAGAAGGACGACAGGTGAATATTTGTCTACTATCCCTTGTTGGTCCCGAGGGAGGTTAGGCTTGGAATGTGACCCACGTCAACTTTCATCCGCTCGGGGGACCGACTGGTTCCTTAAATCACGGGATAAAGCTGGGAGAGGTTGTGCCAATCGGCCAATAGGAGTTGGTGGTGTGACGAGATGAAGGGCCTCGGACGGTGGCGCTTTGCTTTTCTAAGATGCCTTTCTTGGCCGTAAAACATTTGGGGAATAGGACAGAATCTAATAGTTCAATCGGTCAGAGCTTTACAGAGCCTTAAAAGTTGTGCCCGCACAATCTCGACATGACAGAAGGCAATCGGGCAGTGTATTGGCTTTGCCATTGAGCATGGTTTGGAGTTCCAGCGCGCTCTGATCTGACTTCCGATTCCAATTTTTGCGAGGAACCGAGGAAACCCTAAAGAAAAGTCTTTTACTGTTTTCCTCGTAAGAACTTATATGTGCTTACTTGTAGAAGGGTTTATACTAATCTTTTTTGCAATCAATAAGAATTAATGTGTGTAAGGTTATCTGTAGTTGAAATAGGGGTTCCTCTTAATCTCTATTAATAGTCACTTATAAAGTTCCAAAAAGGGGTCAGATTGAAACTTAACAAGAAAGGTTTTTAGATATCAACGGTTACATAGAGCGACAACAAAGGATGTGAATGATCCTTTATTGATTATTGGACAGGAAACGCGGATTGATGAGAAAATCAAAGATACAAAGATGGGAGGCAATCACAAACAACTATATAAAAAGGTATTGAAATGTAAAAATAATAGGAAGATAAAATTAAACAACTGGTGTTCATTAGTTGATTGGCAGTCATTAGCTCAAATGACAATTATAATACTTATAGCTAATAGTGACAGTTATCAACAGCTACAAAGAAAGCAAATAATATTCTACATGACTCCTGCACTTTAGCAATATGTGCTTACAAACGGTTATCAAAAGGACCACAACTCAACGATCACGGCCTCATCACTTGCCTCACGTCAACAGTTGATCATGGCCTCTTCCTAACGGTTATATCAGCTTATGTTTCTCGGCCATTATCATTTGCGGTTGAAATTGTTGGCTTCGTGACTTGAATGCTCATCTTGTTCTTGATTCATCGATCTTTACTTCAGCTTTGGTTCCTTTATCGACTGAACCAAGTTTCATTTACCAACACTTGTGGCTCAACACTTAGTGATTTTCTCTTATATCGCCTATTAGCAATTGTTCATCGCCTTTGTCGATTACCTAGATTTGCCGACTAAAATGACTTAGCAAATTTTACCTCAATCATGACGAGCTCGGTCTTTTTCTGTTCAAATCGATATTCAGGGACTTGGGCAATTTTTTATGTCAACAATACCTTAATCAATCAATCATGTTGTAGGTGAAATCTCCTTATCCCCCCCTTCTTCTTTCAAACCAATAATGACTCGATAACTTTAAGTTTTCACAATCACATCGAATTTATCTTTCATTAGATAGACTTCCAAAAGAAATTGCACAAGGCCTTTCCCATAGCAGTTGGAACGATCTCAAGGGTGCAAACAAACCCCTATCAGCTTCTGGTTCGATGCCTTTTTATTACTCCCTCGTGTAGATGTTAAATTGCGGTAAAAGCTTATCACATCCTTAGCATTTCAACGGGCACATGAGAGTAGGTAGAGCGAAACAAAAGTGCAACCTGACACCCTTTCAATTCCCAACCATTTCGAAAGAGCAGGTAATGCTCATTAATTGGCTTTGACATAGGCCTACCATGGTAGATAGAGATTTAATTAGGGTAGCCTCTAAATTTTCACTACCTCCCCACGGCTTTTGACTTTTTTCGAATCCATTTGAATATCTCTAAACCGGAAAAGAAATTTGTAAGTGTTTTCAGAGAATATCACGTGACCATACACATAGCAAGTAGCATAATATCACATTTTGTGAAGGTACTTATTTTCCTTCTAACAAAAACCGTTTGATGACACTTTGTATTTCGTGATTGATTGAGTGGATAGTCAATTCAATGCTCCAGAGGCACCTGACGAAGTACTCTCTTATCCCGGGCCTCTCAAACCTATCTACAAATAGAGTAATGATATAAAGTAGAACCGAAAACTACACTTTAAATGCAAATATACATTTACTGTTTTTCGTTTTTTTGTAAAATACAATACTCATATATGTAGGTGTTGTTTATAAAGATGCACTCATAATGACTTAATTCCCTAAAAAAACTTTCAACTTAATATCTGTCTCAAAATTTTAATTGTCTAAAAAAATCACAAACTTTCATTATAGTTCCAAATTTATCCCGCGTCCAAAAATCGCCACTAGTTTATTTTTTTCAAAATTATCGTTGTTAGAACTAATTAGAGGTTCATTATCAAAGCTTGCGTCTTCACCAACATCCTCACCTTCATAAGGAACAACATCAGCCTCCTGACACTTCATAATTTTCAAAAAATCAGTGAATTTTTGGACGCGGGACAAATTTAAAATTGGATCTGAAGTTGGTAGTTTTTTGAAGGAATTAGGCCGGTAATGTTTCTGTACTTTCCATGTATTTTTCCGGTCAATTTGGTTAAGATAGTTTGTGTTTAAAGTAGGACAATAGGAATCCCCATGCCCAAATTTCTTGTTTTTAGTTCCTGTATCCACTGTGAAATTTAAATGCAAGACATGCCATAAATTCAGCATTTATGTCTGGCGATGTCGACATGTTGCTAATCGTTCACCGTCTGTGCTGTGGCGCCATGTGGTGGGTAGATGCACTGGATGTGACGAGCGTCCTTCGCTAATTTCATGGCATAGCAGTTGATAGGACATAAAATTAAAATAATAATGATTTTCTCAGAAAATTTGTCAAAAGAGATTGAGATTTAGTCAAAAGAAGGAGTTTCAAAATTCCTTGGTTTAGTCAACAAGAGTTTGAAATTTTCGTGCCTCTTCTTGTGGCCATGATGTCATTCTTTTTTCTTAATTTTTTTGACAAATGAAAATTATATTCATAATTCAAGAAAGAAAAAATAATATACAAATAGTTTTTGAATTATGCCTAATATGCAACGTAATTCCTTGATTAATTCCTAAACTTTAATTTAATATGCAATGTGATTTATGAACTTTTAATATGTTCAATATGATCACTACATTGAATATTTTCATATAATCCATGAATTACATTGAACATGTACCAAAAGTTCAGGAACCACATTGAACAATATGCAGCTAAAAGTTTCATAACCACATTAAACAAATAAATAGCTAAGAGACTACATTATATATTGGGCTAATCATGGACCATTTATGTCATTATCTCTTCAAGAAATGGTGGAAAAATTGGAATAAGTGCATGTGCCATGAAATTATCGAGCATAAATATTGTTGACAGCGCCAACGGAAGTCCAATACCTTCACCTGGGAAGATTGCCAAGAAGTAATCCAAGTCCAAGCCTGTCGATATATCCAGTTGGGCTCACATTCAGTCAAAAGCCTAAGTTAATGACTTATGAGCCAACTAGGATATATTAACTGGTTCATATTGTATCAATTCTCCGACAAGAAACTTTCTAATACAACGCACACGTGAGCGGTCTTACTATATGAATTAGGGAAAATGTCACAAATGGTCCATGAACTTTGGCCCAATGTTCAATGTGGTTCCTGAACTTTATCCCAATATGCAATATAATCCCTAAACATTTTTTTTCTGAACTTTTAATTTGTTTAATATGATTTTTTTGACTTTTGGTATATGTTTAGTTTAATCCCCGAACTATATGAAAATGTTCAATGTAATCCTTGAACTTGAATTAATGAAAGGACAATATTAAACATTTTCATATTGTTCGGGGATTAAGTTGAACATGTACCAAAAGTTCAGAAACCACATTGAACAAATTGAAAGTTCATGGACTACATTGCATATTGGGTTAAAGTTCAAGGACTATTTGTATCATTATCCCTATCAAATTAACATAAACTAATGTCCTAAAAGACAAAAGTCAACATAACACGTACTTCTAACATTAAATCATTTGACATCGTGTGAAAGTAGTTCATAATTTTGAAAAACTCAAGGAAAATTTTCACCAATAGCCCCTTGAAAATAGAATGTATTTCTAAGCCGATGTTACATGAGCTATCACATAGGGATGCACGAAACGGTTTTTACGAATTTTAACTGTAATAGGAATTACGACGTAACATCATACTGTGAATGGACAATAATTATAATACCTCAATGAATTTGTAGTGCGATAGCTGCTGCGACCTTTATGTTTGCGTTCTTTCTCGTAGTACCTTTATTTGTCATCCTTGTTAGGTGATGATAAGTGATAACCGGCAAGTGCACTTCTCTTTATTGAGCAAGGTGGGCTCTTTTGTGTAAAGCACGGTTCCAAGGCAAAACGTGGAATTTCAGAACTTGACTGGTGGAAACCTATAGGTTTTGGGTTTCAAGGTATACATGGTAAATAATGAGTATATGATCTGAAATCACTAGTCTGAGCTTTTCATTTTATGATTTGTTAATGTTTCATATTTATCGTATGTCTAAATATAAATTGTGGTAAGTGGATTGTAACAGCAAGTGATGGTTATTAAATGTAATGATTCACTGTAATTGTTCAATTAATAATACACGTGGAACCTGGATAGACTTTGGAATCGACCCTGGAACTTGTGATGGAGTAGGTTTCAGGTTCCAATGGATGTAAGGTAGGTTTCAGGTTCTAAGAAATGATGAACATGTTCTCATGGGTAGGCTCCAAAATTTAGGTGGAACCTGTACGGAATCTTGAACCGCTCACCCATACTTTTGAGGTATCGAACTTGCAAGCCGAAGACCCCACGTTCTCAGTCGCCGCCTCGCCTCACCCCCGCCCCCACCCCGGCCAGCTGGCCGGATGCCGGAGACAAAATCATTAATGTCACCTCTTGTAAAATATAAATCATTTGTTGTTTGCGGGTACGATAACTTTGGAAGTATAAGGGCTTTGTACGACGACATTGGTCATATTCTATGTGGATCGGCCGTCTCATAATAATCATTATTCATGCCTTGGATTAGACTCCTCAACTCCAAGCTTACGATAAACTTTTAACCACGAAATGAATGTTCTTTGCGTAGCCTGTGAAATCAGCAAAGCATAATGGAACACCAAGAAGCAGAACCCACCACAAAGTAAAAACAATTTCGTTAACGTGTGTCCTGAAAACACCCGTGAAGCAATGAGTATAGAAAAAAATTATTGCCATTTCGAATGCATCAAGAGTCTCATAATGTTCTGTATAATTGCTTAATATGCTTAATAAGCATTTTGGTCATTGGTTAAGGGGACAGATTTCAAAGAGAACCCCTTTTTCTTTTTGGTTTTCGTAATTTGGCCCCAAAAGGACAAAATTGAAAACAGTCCCCAGGTTCACTACACTCAATGTCTTGCTCTAATAATACTCGCCACTGTCCGCACGGCCACAGATCACACTCCTCCGTCTCCATCCTCTCATCCATGGCGGCCCTCCTCCTCCTCCTCCTCCTCTCCGTCCTACCTCTCTCCACCACCTCCGCCGCCGCCGACCACCGTACGCATTTCACAGACCCGTCGCACTCCTCCCTCTCTCTCGTCCCGCCCCAGGTCATCCGGGCCTGCCGGGCCACCAGGTTCCAAGACCTCTGCGTCTCCTCCCTCTCCCGCTCCAAGCCCCCCCTCACCAAGCGCCCCTCCCCCTCCCTCTCCGTCATCCTCGCCGCCGTCGCCGCCTCCTCCGACGGCCTCAACACCGCCCAGTCCATGCTCAAGTCCGTCCTCGCCTCGTCCTCCGGCCACCGCAGCCTCAACCTCACCGTCCACTCCAAGAACTGCCTCCAGATCCTCCCCCTGTCGCAGCACCGGATGAGCTTGACGGTGTCGGCGGCGTTGCCCCGCGGCAGGATCAAGGACGCCCGCGCGTACATGAGCGCGGCCCTGGAGTACCAGTACAACTGCTGGTCCGAGCTGAGCTACTCGAACGAGACGGCGATGGTGGACCACACGATGTCGTACCTGGACACCCTCATGTCGCTCACCAGCAACGCCCTGAGCATGATCGTCGCGTACGACGTTCGCGGGCCCCAGATGGACTCCTGGAGCCCGCCCGCCACCGAGCGGGCCGGGATCTGGGAGTCCGGCCCCGGCGGAGGGCCCGCCTCGGGGTTCGCCGGCGGGGTCCCGCGGGGGCTGACGGCGGACGCGACGGTGTGCAAGAACGGGGGTCAGGGGTGCCACGGGACGGTGCAGGACGCCGTGAACGCGGCGCCGAACAACGGCGAGAGGGGGAGGAGGTTCGTGATCCACATAAAGGAAGGGGTGTACGAGGAGATTGTGAGGGTTCCGGTGGAGAAGAAGAACGTGGTGTTCGTCGGCGACGGCGTGGGCAAGACGGTAATTACGGGGTCTCTGAACGCCGCGATGCCCGGAACCTTCACCTACAATACGGCTACTGTTGGTACGCTTTTCTTTTCTTTCATGTTCTCGGTTTTTCCGAGGCTTTTACTTTTGTCGCCTTGGTCTTTCTGTCTCTATCGTATTAAGGTTAGTGGAAGGATCTAAGGAAGATAGGTTGCGTGGCAAAACAGTAAAAAGATGTTAGAAGTGGTGGTGCGATGCAATGCATTACAAGTGGATCGCAGCAAAGCAATAAAAAATGTGGTGGTGAATCATTATTACTACAGCTGGAGTAGGAAGTGGCGGCCAGATTAGAGCTTTGGTTTTGAGCCTTGTTTTGCTGGAGTGACTTTGCACCGTGGACCCCTGACTTTATATGCCTTTCACCGCTCTTTGCACTATTTTCCTTTTGAAACTTGTGGTTGTGGATGTGTTTGCTCCTGTTGCTTTCACCTGCATTGTGAAATTAGGGTGATATGATGATCTGCTCACTCTGATTAAATGGCTGTTATTCCTTGATGTGATTCTGTGTTGAGGAAAAATTGAAGTTATCTTCGCAGCACATCTAGCTATTAGTAAAGAGAAAAGCGAACTCGGTTAATGGAGAAAAATACGGCATGATGTTTGATCGACGAATGTAGGAGTATTCGGGGATGGATTCATGGCACGTGGAATCACGTTCCAGAACACGGCCGGTCCGGATGTCCACCAAGCCGTGGCCTTCAGATCAGACAGTGACCTGTCTGTCGTCGAGGACTGCGAGTTCTTGGGCAATCAAGACACTCTCTATGCCCACTCTCTCCGCCAGTTCTACAAATCCTGCCACATCGAAGGGAACGTGGACTTCATTTTCGGGAACGCCGCCGCGGTGTTCCAGGACTGCACGATCCTGGTGCGGCCCCGGCAAGTCACTCCCGAGAAGGGCGAGAACAACGCAATCACGGCCCATGGGAGGACAGACCCTGCTCAGTCGACGGGCCTTATATTCCACAATTGCTTGATCAATGGCACGGAGAGGTACATGGAACTGTACCGCAGCAATCCTAAAGTGCACAAGAACTTCTTGGGCAGGCCCTGGAAAGAGTACTCCAGGACGGTGTTCATTGGTTGTCGTATGGAAGAGCTCATAACCCGGGAGGGATGGATGCCTTTTAGGGAGGATTTCGCGCTGAAAACGCTTTACTACGGAGAGTTTGGGAATTCAGGACCCGGGTCGGACTTGTCGGGGAGAGTTTCTTGGAGCAGCCGCATCCCGGCGAAGCACACGAACGAGTACTCCGTGCAGAACTTCATCCAGGGCAATGAGTGGATTCCTTCGTCGGCTTCTCTACTGTGAATCGAAATTATGTCAGGGACGATGGATTAGACATGGTTGTGTTTGTGGAAGATCTGGGAAGAACCTCGGCATGTGCTTGTATGTTTACTAGAGTAGCGGGATGTAAGATTAAATCCCATCCTCTGTGCATGTAGACATGTGAAATGAATAATCTCATCTCTGCAGTTTTAGAGAATTCTTCACATACGAGCAGAATTTGTTTTTTTAAAGGGTTAATACCACCAAAAATCCCAAACTGATACACATGTGATAAATTTACCCCAAATTAATTTTTTGACCATTAAAAACCCCAAACTGTACACCTGTGACAAACTAATTTTTTTAACCATAAAAAACCTCAAACTCATACATTTGTAACAAATTTACTCTCCGTTAATTTCCGCTAAATTGGATTAATAAAAAATAAAATCACAAACCGGTACACTTGTGACAAACGGAGGGTAAAATCCAAAACTGGTATATCCGTCAACTGACGCGTGTCATTTATCAAAACAATTTGATAGTAAAATTTAACGGAAATTAACGCAAGGTAAATTTGTCATAGGTGTACCAATTTGTATTTTGGAGATCAAAAAATTAATTTAAGGTAATTTTATTACAAGTATATCAATTTGAGATTTTTTGTGGTATTACCTTTGTTTTTTACTTAGGGTAAGGTTTGTGCACCAAACTCCTTTTTTAACCGGTCAAAAGGTCATTCACATAGGGATTTACGTATTCAAGAGTTATTGCTTCCCCGTGGCCTAGTCTCTACGAGGCTACGCAGCATAAACTTGCATAATTACGATTTTCTCATAAGATATGTAACTGGGAGACTTCCTTCTGTAGCACTCCTCGTTTGAAGAAAACAAAAGAATCCTTTCTTTCCCATGTCACATTTATATTATGCGACCTGAGTAATATAAACTAAGATTTAATTGGACATCTTCATGGTCAGGGGGGCACAGGTTTAGTATAATCCTGAGAAGTCAAAAAAAAGTCAAAAAAAAAAATTTCAAAGAGAAATTCATAGGGCCAAACCGGGTTCGAACAGGTGACCTCTAATCTGCAGTGAAATGCTCTACCAATTGAGCTATAGACCCCATGTTGTTTCGAAGAATAATTACTTCCCCGTGGCCTATTCTCCATGGAGTTATGCAGCATAATCTCGCATAATTACAATTTTCTCATTGGATATGCAACTGGAAGACTTATTCTATAGCAATCCTCACTAAACAGAGATTCAATTGGAAATCTTCATGATCAGCGGGCATAAGTTTAGTATAATCCAGTGAGGCAAGAAAAGACAAAAAAAAAAAAAATTAAAGGAGAAATTTAGAGGGCCCAACCGGGTTCGAACCGGTGACCTCTTGATCTGCAGTCAAATGCTCTACCACTGAGCTATGGACCCCACGTTGCTTTCAAGAGTAATTACTTCCCCCGGCCTATTTTTCATGAGGTTACATATCGTAACCTCGCATAATTACGATTTTCTAATTGGGCATGCAACCGGGTAGACTTCCTTCTACAACAATCATCGTTAGAAGAAATCGAAAGATTCTTTTCTTTCCCACGTCACATTTATATTATGCGACGTGAGTAAGATAAACTAATGTTTAATTAAACATCTTCATGGTCAGTGGGCACAAGTTTAGTATAATCCAAAGAGGAAAAAAAAAGCCAAAAAAAATAAATAGAGAAATTTAAAGGGCCCAACCAGGTTCGAACCGATGACCTCTTGATCTACACTCGAATGCTCTACCACTTAGCTATGAATCATGTGTTTGCTTCAATAAAAATTTTCCCTGTGGTCGGATAATTGTGCAAAAAGTCCTAAAACCTATTGTACGAAGCCAATTCGGTCTCAAACCTTTTAGTTGTGATAATTTAATTCCAAACTTTTTGACGATTTGCCAATTTAGTCATAAACTTTTCTTTGTATCGATTTATTCCTAAACATTTTGAAAATTTGTCAATTTAGTCTTAAACCTATTATATAGATATTTGGGCGGAAGGATCACATCGTCAAAACGTTTGTGACTAATTGGCACAATTTAAAGATTTAGGACTAAATTATCAATTCGTCAAAAGATTTAAGACTAAATTAGCACAATTGAAAGGTTTAAGACTGAATTAGCCTCCGTATAATAGGTTTACGACTTTTTGGACAATTTTCCTTCCCCACGAGGTTACGCAGTGTAATCTCGCATGATTATAATTTTTTGCGAAGAAAACGAAAGATTCCTTTCTTTCCCATGTCATATTTATATTATGCGAGGTGAGTAAAATAAACTAAGAATTGAAAGACTTCCTTCTAGGATTGTGAAGAAAACGAAAGATTCCTTTTTTTCCATGTCATATTTATATTATGTAAGGTGAGTAAAATAAACTAAGATTTAATTAGATAAGGCACAGAAAGCCAAAAGAAATTAATAGAGAAATTTAAGGGCCCAACCGGGTTCGAACCGGTGACCTCTTGATCTGCAGTCAAATGCTCTACCACTGAGCTATGGACCCCTTGTTGCTTCACTATTGATAACCTTTTTTTTATATTTAAAACATAAGACCCTGCTCTGTACCAAACAAAGTGATGTCCTCATATTTCTCGTGTGGTATTATATGATACTAAGCGACGTTTAATTCCAGGTACAAGTTTCATAGAAATTGTCTTGATTTTTCAGAGTAGAAAGTGATGCAGTGATGGAGTGGTGCTTGATTCTTCTAGCATTGCGAGACGAGATACAGTAAGATGAACGGCATTCTTGATTCTTCTAACAAAAGTCTTGTTTCTCCAGTTGTTGTCGTTTGCAGTCAAATCCAATCTCGAAGAATCAAGGAGGGTCTCTATCAGACACCTTATGCAATAGGAAGAGGCAGAAAAGAAAAATCGAACCGATCACTGGAAGATCAGTCTCTCATCCTCAGGTACTCACAACTGCGAGAGAGATGCCGTAGAGATCGCCGGAGGTGAGGGCGTGCGGAACTCATCGTCGGTCCAGTTGGTCTCGCCCCAGTGTTGCAACATGCTCTTCCAGTCACACAAATTGTCGATGCACTTGCCTAGCCGCGGGTCCTTGACCTTGATCCTCCAATGCCCATCCGAGTAGTTGGCCTCCTCGGCCTGTCTCCGATCCCATTCCAGCTGCGCCTTCTGCTTCGACTCCAACATACAGAACTGCTTCAGGACCTCCGGCATCGCGTCGTGCACTCTCCACCACCGCTCGTGCGCGACGTTACTGGCAAACTCCTGAAAGAAGTCGACGTTCCAGTTGCAGTCGTAGTCCCGGAAGCAAAGCCATGGCTTCACTCCTAGATAGTGAAGCACGTAAAGGATCGGGGGATCGGCCCCGAAGAGCCGAGTCTTCATTCGCTTCTTCTCTTCCTCGTCGCCGACCCAGAAGTGCTTCAAGAAGTTCATATGTCTCGGGATCCGGTGCCACCACGTGAAGATCTCGTTCAAGTAGCCTTGGTCGCCGCCATTGTAGGACTCTATCTCATTGATGTGCTTCATCAGAAGGTTGAATGTGCAGTTTGAAGGCTCAATCACCATGACACCGGAGTTGAATAGCGTGCCATTGTTCCCGGTGGCTGAAATTTCGGGCATTGCAAAGAGAAAATCGATGTTTCGGAGGATGAGCAAGTCGGCGTCGATGAATATGATCTTGTCATAGTCGGTCAGCTGCCACAACCGGAACTTGCTGTAGTTCCACTCGTTGTAGGCATCTTTCTCGGCCTTTGGGTTTCTGATCCGCTGTATTGTGCGGATCTTCCAACCGGCTGCCTCCAGACCACTCCTGTGGTAGTTGCTTATCGTATCGTCCACAAGTATCACGAGGTCACGGGTCGAACCGGCCATTCGTATGCTTTGAGCTGCGGCTATTGCCCCACAGACATATACATGAGCAGAGTGAAGGATGGTCGCATAAGCTTCTCGGCGCGCATCTCCCGTGTAAACCCGCTCTGTTCGCAAGAAACCGGACTTATGACATCACATATGGGATAGCATATAAGATGGTGGCATAAATAGTTTCCGAGAGAGAGAGAGAGAGAGAGAGAGAGAGAGTTTGTTATAGAACTGACCTCTGACATTGAGAGGGAGAGCAAGTTCACATGACCCAACAGGGAGCTGCAACTTCTCTCTCAGGACACTCAGATTTGGCCTGTAAAGCCGAACATTGCCCATCTTCACGACAAGTTCTTTGCAGGTGAACAAGTTGGGTATCGGAAAGCACTTGGTGACAAAGAGGACATGCACCGGATAGCTCCCTTTGGCCGATGATGCGAGCCGCGCTGCTGTGAGCTGCAAGTGGAGCCTCGCCACGTCTCTCGACCAATTGCCCTCATTCCTGCATGGAAGTTTCACGGCGATCAGATCAAGCCGCACAGCCGGTGGTTTGATGCGCGGTAGGTTTGGGCAAATGGGTACTTCAGTTTCTTCTTCCTCGTCGATCCACTCTGGATATAAGGAATCCCAAGTGACGTTTTTGGCAGCATATTCCAGGGACAGAACAATGTGGTCTGCCCTCGGGAAAAGCTGCTTCCAATATGCATTTTCGCTATCGTTGAAGTTCAAAAGGCCGATTCCATGATAGTCGTTTTTCCCATTTAGGCTGTCTGTTACGTCTATTATATCCTCCCAATCTATGTCCAAATGCGACGTGTATCGTGGGTCTGATCCGCCCCATATCCATCTGTTGACAAAATTTGGCCTGCAAGCAATAGAATCAAGAAAGTTATGCCTGCTGCCTGCAAATGAGTAAGATATTGATGCTTGTCCAAGTGTTTGTACATAGAGCATTATATGAACAGTGTAAATGTGTTTGAATTATTTCTTACCGAATCGTGGTCGATGATAGACTTTCGCTATTGTAAACTTCGGGATGGTAGAGTATCGTGACCAACGTGCCGCATATGGTGATGGTAAGGAGAAATTTCAATAAAGAGAACTTGCAGTTTGCACTTTTATATTGGAGGGGCAACTGGAAAGATTTGTCAATTCCTTTGAATTTACTCCGCTGCAGTTTCCTCTTGTGTATTTCTTCACTGATTCAAGTAGCCATTGATGAATGGGTCAGCAAACAAAAGAAATGAGAAAGCACATGAAAGTCATAGATGATTTCAAGCAGCTTCACAGAATTATTCGTAATATGTGCGATAGATGTAGCAAATCAACTATAAAATGGAAGATATTCGTAAAGTGAATTCAGATGTTAAGTCTATCTTTAGTCAGAACAGAGGACACAATAAAATCCTCAACCGTCACAATGGATACAAAGTAAATTGGCAGACAAGTGCTTGTTTCACGTCCATGCTTTGAAGTATGAACCTCTAAAAGTTCTGTGTTTTCACTGATATTTTGAGACTGCGTTTGTCTTCTAATCCTAAAGCCGAACAATTTGCAGATGAGGAGCAAATTGCTGCACCAGCTGCTTTTCTAGATTGTTGATCAATTGGTTTGACTAAACGGTTCATGGAAGAAGCAAATTGCTGCACCAGCTGCTTTTCTAGATTGTTGATCAATTAGTTTGACTAAACGGTTCACAAAGAAATTCCTTGAGCCTGAGATCAGACTTTTGGTGACATTATATACCGATGTGTACATTGTGCAAAACTATGCGGCAGTGTTCATCTGATATAAATTTCGATGTACATTCTTCATGAAAAAGACATTGGTCTACTTCATAAGTAGGTAGAAGCAGACTGTTATGAGGAGGCTTTCTCTAAGACTGCATAGAATTCACATTGACTTGGCAATTGCAACCAGAGCATGTTGAAATTTACATAGCGTTGCCATTTTAAGGATTTGATCAAGATGTAAAAACTAAAATTGCGTAGCTTATTACTGCTAAATTTCAGGTTTCAGGGGACTTCAACTTTTTTAATGAAGCTTTCTCTGTAAGTAAGCTCCCTCATGGATTTAATGAAACAAAATCTGATATTTGAATGAAGAAGAAACTCACTTTGACAATGACAATCTGTGTTTGATCTCGAGATTATCGTCTGAACTTCCCATTACTTCTCTCTGTTGGATTTACTCGGAGCTGGTGAATCCACCATCTGATCGACAAAACAGTGTGGAAGAATCATCAAACATGGTCAGAAGAAGGCTAAACCAGATGTGTTGGCAATGATGATTTGATAAGCTGAAAAAAAAAAGGATGTTACTTAATACCACAGAAAGAATGACAGAATCAAGAAGTGGGTGAGTAAGCAAAGTCGAGAAGATTGTTGTGTCAAGAAGCTGTTTATGTACAGACAATTCGACGAAAACCAAATTAAGGTCCTTTTGTGACATTACAACATTCCACATTCCTAGCCAAGAGAAGGGTTAGAAAAACACTTCCCTAACTAAAATTCCCTGGAGAAGAAGAAACTACAGCAGAAATCCTGGACCGCTGAACATTACATATACAAAGCCAGAGAACTAATTGAAGAAACACCAACTATCAGATGAAACTTGATCAATAACGATAGTATTAACGCAGTTGAGAGAGAGAGACAGAGAGAAAGAGAGAGACTTACAAAACCTATGTGGTTCTGTGGTTTCTTCCGAATGACATGGAGAAGAAAATGAGATGAGACAGGTCTAAGTGGTGTCAATATAGAGAGGATATGGCTTCTGTTTGAATTCTTGTTCACACTTTGCTTTCCATTGTTTTTAGAACTGCTTCATCACCAATACCAAGTTACCAACTTTTTCATTATTTTCTTTCCCCTGTATGTTTCTGCAACTTCTCTCCCACTTTACCCTGATGTCCTGGCAAAGATAGATCAACTGTAATTTTCTCGAAGTTGATATCGAGTTCAAGTTTCGGTTACACTAACTCGCGTAAATAGATGAAAAGACAATTCAATATGAAAAACATGTCACTTTTTCGTTAGTTATTAGCACTAAAACATAAACTTACATTGAATTTTCAGAAAATGCAGAAGAGAGGAATTTGCAGGCCAGCTCTACAAAATACAGAGAACATGCTGAGCAGCAATTGTTATAAAAATGGATAGACCACTAGCCCTCTCAGCTTGTACCAAGCCACCAAATCCCAAAGAAATGGTAAAAATGATCATTATAAAAGTGGGAAAAACACATTGCTCTAATCTTTAACCTTTTTCTCCAAAAGTACAAAACATAAAATTGTCATCATTGGAGGTAGTTGCTCCATTAGGTTGAAGAGAACAGATTAGTTGAAGATGCATGATGCATATGACAATGGAATGCGAGTCAACTCATGTCCCATCTCACTTACCAAACAGAGTAAACCTATTATTGTACTTGAAGCCGTGGGTTGAAGATGCCTGTGATCTGTTAGAAAGCTGACTGTTAAACCAATTGATAATTATAGTCGATGCTTTTTGGTTAAGTTAAAAAGTTCCTGTGAATTGTCTCCATTTTATATTAAAAGGTGTGCTGTCGTTTGTTAGAGAGTTGCAACCTCCACGTTGTCCCTTTTTTTAGGCTTATAATAAGCACGGATAAGATGAAGGCTGTAGTGATCTTAGGGGAAAAAAATTAGGACTATAGAATAATATCAGTTGCATGAGCCTATTGGTAAAGTCAATGTTTATCTAATAATATTTTTTAGTTTTCCTGAATCATTGTTCTTCATGACACCTTCAAGTAGAATTTTTTCACCTTGTAATCAAATATTTTCTACTCTTTCTTTATTTCTTGCTGTTCTTCTTATCAAACCCTATCATAAAGAACCAGAAGATAACTGCAGGAACCATTTTTTTTTTCTCTTTCTTGGTCTTGCTCCACATTCCTTAATGCTAAAGCAAAGATAAAATAAGGTGGAATAAGATTAATTAAGGCTGATAACGCAAACGATTTCACCAAACAAAAAGGGAGCGCAAACGCAGTCAAAGGCAACAATTAACATGTTTAATGAAATTAAGTTTGGTGACAACCACTAGGCATCACTTTCCAAAGGGACGTCTCACTTTCCATCTGATCTTCTATTCTCATCCCAAAGATCTAAGCCTTCAAGTGAGGGAAAGTTTATTCCAGAGAAAAGAAGAAAAAAGTACAAACTCAAATGTCATAATTGGGAAAAATCTCTTCTACATACATAATAATAGATCTGGATCCATTAATCAAACATTAGATTGACCACCATGAAGATTAGCTTCGAAGCTTCAAAAAGTGTGGGAAAAGGAGCAGCAGAAGTCCACGTGGCAGCGACCCAACCGCACACTTGTGATGCAAATGAGAGTCGAGCTTCGCTATTCTAATTTTTTCCCTTTTGGATGGGAGCCGTGCACCCATCGCTACGTATCTCTCAGTTACTCCATCCCATGCACATATCTTAGTACTATGTTCCATATAACTAATATATAAAAAACACCATGTGTCTATAAAAGTATAGAGATAGTATAAATGGAGATGTGACAACGTATGAATGTTTGTAGTAGAAGCGAAGCAAACCGACCAAAACGGAAAGCGTGTTGGTTCTGTTGGAGTCCTTTCAGCCGTCGATGCATTCATTGGGAAGCAAAAGCGAGGGCTTTTCGTCAATGTTTCACTTGCACGTCCAATATAGATATAATTAGTATAGAGTATAAATTATTTTCATTCCGTTATTTACCCTTTGATGGGTATGCCCATCTTTTGTTTTTTGCTTTTTTTTTCGCTTTTTCATGTTCATACTGAGATTTGGTTTGATGTAGCCTCTTTGGTTGGACCACTTAAAAGACGTAGGAAAACGAAATATAACTAGAAAACATAGGGATCTGTCTGGAGAGTTTTGGCTTATTATAGGCCCTGTGTTTGGCAATACTTGGTTGGTATACTTGGTGAATCCAAGGAGAGTCTTCTGACAAGAGGAAGAGGAGTTTGCCGTTTGTGCACAAACAACTATTCCTCTCCTAGCAAATCATCTGGATCCTCTCCTCCCATTTCCACATCACAACCAAACACAAAAAAGTGCTACAGAGAGTGAGGTCTTGTTAGTCACCAATAGAACAACTAAATCAGCGAGATTAACACATCTAAATCACGCTTAAGCAATACTTAATGGTAGCTTCAAGGATAACCACTGGGAAAAAGATAAAGCTTGAAGGAACCTCTTCATAATTGCTTTCGGCACAGAGAAAGAGAAGCTGCCGATGAGCTCATCAAGTGCTTACAAGCATTGGCCACTAATATCCACGCGCAGCCCCACATCCCTTTCGGCAATACATTCCCTTTTGCCGTTTATATGCACTTACACTCCCCTAGCCTTACATGTTAAGCCCTTGAAAATGGAAGTGTCTTTGCTTTCGAAACCCAAAGTTTGGCAATCAATCCTGGCTAAAAGACTTGACGCTGCGGACAACATAAATTATCAACAGTTTCAAGGGAAGGTTTCTTCCAGCCCGAAACATAGAGAAATTTGTTCATGAATGGCAGCCACGGAACAAGGCTCAATGAGAAGTTCAAAATTCTTCATTCTGAAGCAGACATAGACCTGAGCACCCAAAAAAAGTAAATGATACAAATCCAACACCAAAGGCCTCCCAGAACCATCAAATGATCGAATTAACAGTAGAGCAAGCCTATGTTTGCTTGACGCTCTGGAGAATGAAGATGCTTATCAATTTCGCCTCCACAGCCACTACTCAAATACAGAGCACAAAAATAAACAGCACACAGATTCCCCTTGATCTATGTGGCCCATGACAGATTATGAGGGGTAAAGGGAATCCCTTTACTTGATAAATAAAGGGCTAACATTGTTATACTATCAAGAGGCCTCTTCCGAGTTTATGTGTCAGGCTCAGAGAATTTCTCCTCTTTAGGCGGTGCGAACTGTTTGCAAAGCTTGGATCTTGTCCAGGGATCCATAGGAGGTCTCTGTGGAGGTTGAGGGACCGGAGGCTTCGACTGTCTAAGTTCATTTTCTCTGTCAATAAACCTGTTCAAACATCATTCAGCAAAATATAACCTGTTAAGACATCTAATTGCATAACCCCCTGAGAATGCACACAACTCATCATGAACCACTCTTGCAGGTTATAAAAGAAAGATTGGAAACTTAATCAATTAGGATCACTTTTCACTGGGTGTCAATGTGTGCACGTGAAGCTTCCTCAAACCTCCACTAATAAACTCATTAGAAGGGTGGTGTGTCCTTACTCAAAAACATGCTTGAAATAATACCCTCAATCTTTCCAAAATAAGGAATGAACTTTTTCTTTTTCCCTCCTGGTTTATATATCTAATAGCAGCCGCCCCCGCCCTCCCCCTCTCTCTCTCTCTCTCTCTCTCTCTCTCTAGGGTCCTAAAACACAGGAAACCGATGTCAAAGTTTCATATCTTTCCACTTAACGACTCGCTGAACTACCTCTCTCCATCATAAGTGACAGAAACTATATAGCCACAGCCTGTTCTAGCTCATGAGATGGCAGACATGCAAGACAGAGTTAATACATTCCACAAACTTTATAAGCAAAAAATAGAATTATGGCCTTACTCAATATAAGCCATGGGTGCAGCATCACCAACTCGAATGCGAGTTCGAAGAAGTCTTGTATATCCACCAGCTCGATCTCTGTATTGACATATATTGAAAAGGGTAAGGTTCGTGACAAATGAAGGGATGAAAGACTTATGAGCTTATAGTCACTTGTATCTATAGGCCAGTTCTGTGAATAGTTTGTGAAGGACATCATCTCCTCGCACGAAAGCAGCTGCTTGCCTAGCAGCATGAAGGGTACCCTGGCAAAATATAATAAGGATCACAAAAAAGTCAAACAGTGAATAAACTCAGCACAAAATTTCACTGGGCTGACAGTAGAGAAGTAGTCGAATAGGATGGGACAAAACTACCAAGTGTACAAAGATGCGTACCCAAGACACTAAGGTAAAACTTTTCGTCGATAGTTAAACTTTCAGTAGTATTTTATTTTTACCATGGAACTTCACTTTGAATTAGTGAAACCACTCAACTTTTGATATTCTTTCAATTTTATCACTCTAACTATATCTAGTCAAGATACAAACAGAAATATCACGTGACCATCCTACTTGTCAAAGTTTGAACAGTAAAATTGTAGTACCAATCTCAAAAATTGAACGTTGATATGTAAAAGACGTCAACAGCTGAGACATTACAATTATGTCCAAGAAAATGTCTCTTGTCAGATTTCCAATTGTGATCTTAATCGTAAATAACAGAACGGTAAAAATGAAACATCAAAAAATGAGCGCTTGCAATTTAGAAACTTCAAGCCCTTCTGCGCAAATATCCCATATTAACAAATTCAGCACCAATTAAGAAAAAGTATTTCAACTAGTATACTTTCAAGATAACTTCCGCATTATTTTACCAGAGAGAATTTTGTTTTTGACAACCTAACATCCAGAAGCTGCATCAGCTAACATCTTTAGAATCCAAATTGAACCAGCCACCAGCAAGTACTTAAGCAGTACAGCTGTGATGGCAAAAGGCTTACCTAACCCCACTTTTGAGTTTGAGAAAGACAAGAATGAAGCAAAGTTTTCTTAACACCTCTAAAAATGCACCAAGAGGTGAACCATTCCCAAAAATTAGAGACAAACTTTGATTAATACAGCTCCCGTAACACCTCAGGGCATCGAACAACAATATTATCAGCTACAACTTAAAAACTATGTCCTACAGGGGTAACTGAAAATCTATCATCATCAACGGCAATAACGACAGAACAACTACATGATCCTACCTCTTTACCAAGCTGTACCATATTATCAGCTAACCTCCGGACCTCTTTGGCCTGCATTTTCAAGATCGATCATACATATGTAGTTAAAATGGTAATCATTGTCAAGCACCCCATTGACACAAAAACGAATAGCACAGCAACTTACCTTAGCCACAGTGGTTTCAATGCGCTCGTGTTTCACCAACTGCGATACCATTGTCCTGTTCACCGAATAATTCGGTCAAATGACAAACCTTTACAAGCCCAAAACGTTCAAATTCAAATCCTCGGAACAGGGTCGCAAACAAACCTCAGCATGGACATCCTGTGAGCGGCGGGCCTACCAAGCTTCCTAAACTTGGTCATTTCTGGCGAAAGATTGTAGACCCAGTAAGCATAATCTATGTTGCACCGACACGCGACACACGACGCGACACGTCAATTCTCAAAAATACCATTTTCCGACACGTTGGGACACGTATATTAAATATATATTTTTAATAATTAAATATACCATAATGACCAAAAACAATTGGTTTATTATAACCCATAAAACCATTAAGTTCCAATAAAAAGATGAACTTGACTAGTTTAGGTTCCGTAAACTCATCCATCGATCGAAAGAAGCACATTTACAAATTCAATTAGGGAAACAGAGTATATGCAATATGCAAACTTCTCCTCAAAATTCATGTTCTCATATTCCAATACATAAGAAAAAAAAGACGCAGCCCACCACAATTTCTTTTCCCCATCCATCTGACCTCCCCATAAGCACAACTTTTTCCTTTTCCCCCAACACACCCACACACGCCCCCTTCCCCGACTTCTCCCTTCTTCCCAGTTCCCAGCCACCACAATTTCTTTCGAAACAGAGAGGTGTACCTGCAGCGAGCGGCGAGCGCGAGCGGGAGAGGGAGCGGCGAGCGGCGAGCGCGACGGCGAGCACGATCGGGAGCGGGAGCGGCGAGCGCGAGCCGCGAGCACGACCGGCGAGCGCGAGCCGCGAGCACGACCGGCTAGCGCGACGGCGAGCACGATCGGGAGCGCGAGCGGCGAGCGGCGAGCAGCGAGCGCGACGGCGAGCACGATCGGGAGCGGGAGCGGGAGAGGGAGAAGGAGCGGTGAGCGCGAGCCGCGAGCCGCGAGCACGACCGGCTAGCGGGAGCGGGGAGCGGCGAGCGGCGCGGAGGACGGGAGTTCGTCGGTCGAACAGAGAAGTAAAGAGGCAATCGTGTTTTAGCCCTAATCTGGTGAGAAAATATTGCACGAGTGGAATACTCCACGTCAGCAATACACAACTCCATTGGGTGCGTGACACGTGGCAAGCGGGCCCACAAATCAGATTTATTAAAAAATCTGACTCTTTCCCTTCTTTCTTCCGTCCTCCGTTGACCCTCCGTCATCTCGCGGCAACGAGCTAAGAGCAGCTGAGCTGAAAATTTTTGAAAAAAATCAAGCGCCCTCTCTCTCTCCTCTCTCTCTCTCTCTTTCGCGCTCCCCATCCACATCTGCTCTGCACTCCGTCTCGCTCGCGCCGCGCCGACGCCGACGCCGCCTCCGACGAGCGAGGCCCTAGCCTCCGCCTCCGCCCTAGCCTCCGACGCCGATGACGCCTCCGACGAGCGAGGTCCGCCGCTCGTGGTTCGTCGCCTTCCACGAGCAAGGTCCGCTGCCTCCGACGAGCCTCTATATATATATATGTTTTTTTTTTATATAAAATAAAAAAAATAGCGACACAAGAAAGAACCCAGAACATCAGTTGTTGTAGTAGTAGGTAGACTTTTTTCTAGAAGGTATTGGGGGAAAACGATGGTAGAAACAAAATAGGGCGTTGTTTGCAAGACAAGAATCAATGTCAACCAGAGTATTTGCATCCATGAGTAATTTTGTACAATACTAAAGGTCTTAAGGTATTGAAACAGCTTTGAGTGATCACAGAGATGATAGACTCTTTTTCAAATTCTCTCCTTTTTCTCTCTTTCTGTATCAGCCAATAAAGGGTAAGCGGAAATGATGACCCCCAACTTTTTCTTGTTACAAGAGATCTAATGACACTGCCACACTCACAATCCTTGCTCTATAAGCCTGTGACACAATTGAGACCGTTGTAGGCAGACATGTATGTTTAATGTGGTAGTTTGACTTGTCATCTTCTCTTCCTGTTTTTTTGGTAGAAGCATCTTTTGGCCATGAGCTTCCGTCTTCTTTTAGTATTGTCCTAGGCGAAAATTGTTTGTCAGTTGACTTCCCAAACAACGTAAGTAAGAACTTTTATTTGCTTCTTAGCATTTTCTGGTTTGAGATCACCATAATTTGTGGAGTGTTACTTTTTTAATTTGCAGTAGGTTTAGTCACTTTTTCTAAGTAGTTTCCTTTAACTTTCCTCACGTGAATCAAGAGCAATCTTAATACACCAGTTGTCAAAGAAGATTACTCAGAAGATCCCATTCAAGTTGCATGGTCTTCCAGTTTCATCAGTTTTGCATCCTTCTCGATCCATCTTCTTTGTTTCAACTAAGAAGAATGTTCGCATGTATGACCTCTTGAAGCAGAAACTCATTAAAAAGCTTGAGACTGGACTTCGTGAAGTTTCCTCAATTGCAATTCATCCTCAAGGTATGTTTGAAAATCTAATGTTAGTGTTCTCTTCCTTGTTGATTTCTAGATCCCCATAATTCTTAGTTGTCTTCCCTTGCAGGGGATAATTTAATTGTTGGAAGCAGAGAGAAAACTCTGTTGGTTTGATATGGACCTTTCGCCTCAACCTTACAAAACACTCCAGTAAGTTTGCTATTATCTTCGTGACAATTTAAAAGTCGTGAGAATTGGATGAATTTTCGTTTTGGGGAAGTGTAGCTGATCAAACTGAGTTGGTTGTTTGTAGTTACACGATTGCCTTTTCTGGGTAGAAAATTTAATGTTGGCATGGATATATAGTCTGGTAGATTTCAGCTTGTTACTTGTTTGTTCTGATTGTCAGGTGTCATTCGAAGGACATTACAAATATGGCCTTCCATCGCTCATACCCCCTTTTTGCATCGTGTTCTGATGATTGCACAGCCTATGTGTTCCATGGCATGGTTTATTCAGATTTCAACCAGAACCCTCTCATTGTTCCGTTGGAAATTCTCCGAGGGCATGTAAGCTCAAATGGAAGAGGTGAGTGTTCGTACTCTTTTCTATGTAGAAAATTATTGACACTGAGGAGGAATACCTATCCCTAGCTTCATGAAGTTTTTCTTTGGGGGGGAGGGGGGTAGTGTTAAGAAGGATATCATGTCAAGGATGAGTGAGTTTTTATAAAATAGCTTGGGGACACTAAAAGGTCCACAATTCTGCTGATGTCACTCGGCTTAGGGCAATGCAAGAGCTTCTTTCTTTGTTGACAAAGGCTTAAAGCAGCTCTGGCCATAAGATTTTCTAGACGTCACCATTCATTTATTCCATTGTTGACAAAATCATCATTAAGGTGAGGCTAGAGCCTGGGGCTACGTGAAACCTATGCAGTCTCTCTATCCAAGATACTTGGCAGCAGATCAAAGTTTGGATAATCGTGGACGGTGCATCAGGAAGTTGATTGAAAGAGCACTGACCTTTTTTTATTAGTGATTTAATTAAGTTGTTCTGATATTTGTGTCTGAGTTTCTTGCGTAAACCTTATAATGGGGGAGAAAACGCATCCTGCCTCAGGGCCATGTTCCTATCTTACAACCAAGTGGTTTGAAACATTTGTGCTGGGACAGGTCCCCTCTACTCTAACACTGTCATTGTCTGCACATCTAATTACAAGCTAACTAGCTTTGCAATGTAGATAAGAAACTGACCTCTGGGTATATTTTTACTTATTTATTATTCTTCTAATCATCAGGGGTGATGGATTGCAAATTCCATCCACGGCAACCTTGGTTGTTCACAGCTGGTGCTGATTCGGTGATCCAACTTTACTGTCACTGAAAGATGATTCTTGAGAAATGATCCTTTGATTTATGCATACTTGAATGCGACGATTAAACGGAGCCGTGCTCTAGAAGGATGATGCTGAGTCACATGGCGATATAAATTGAAACCAAAATGGCGATGGGAGGGCTGTCCAGCAGCCTTTTCTCATAAGCTCTGGATTAATTTTGTTATTCTGCATACGCTAAATATAAATAGGTTCTGAGCATTAATCTGGTAAAGAATCATAAGAGTTATCAGTTAGACAAATTTTCCCCTCAATTTTGCCTTGTATGTGGTCAATTGAATGTATTCAGTAAAACTCGCAATTGTTTTGTTTTTGTATTTTGAAGGAAAGTTAGAGAATGCTCCTGCTGACATCTTGGGCGTTAAGTTTTCTCCATACATATATGATGAATGGATTCTTCGATGTGGATTTCACGGCGCAGAACGATAAGAACGGACGGCAGACACTTATGATTGATGTAGTTGCCATCAAATCGTTTGAGGCAATTACCACTATTATGAAAAATGACATGTTTGGAGTTGAAAACTCTAGGATGTGATTACGGATCATCATCAGTCTTGTTTTTTTTTGTCTTCCTTAAGGCCACATGAAACAATTTTTATCGAGACCCCATTGGCTTGGATTAGCTGTGGTCGGCAATTTGGTGCGCTAATCTCAGTCGATTGTGCTTGTAATTAGGCGAGGAGCAACACGGTAGAGTATTAGAGATTTGGATTAATATGGGTCGCAAATGGCTAACTTGAATGACTTAGTCCGGTGTACGTGCAAGCGCAAGTTGGCATAAGTCCAGTTGGGCTCAGGTCGACACACAAAACTTGCCTCTATCATCGTTCAATCGTTTTCTCCTCCCAAAAATCAAAAAGCAAATTCGACGTAGGCTTTTGAATTATAGAACGTTGGGTAGCAATTAGTTTCCCACAAAACCGGCTCTATTACCAAATTAATGTGGCTATCAAAATGAGTTGTAAAACCATTTCTTAACTCATATATGATCGAGTGAGTTGTTATACAAGTTCATTATATTCAATAAATGAGATTAGGACGGTAAAGCCCAACATAATATGAGTGTTAAATGATTTGCAACTAACTTAGACCTAACTTGCTTTTACGATTCCCTCTTTATTCTCTCTCGCCCTCACTCGATCTTATACTCGCTCACTCCGCACTCTCGCATTACTTTGGATATGAGTTTTATTAATTGGGTTAAATATGAAAATGTTCTGACAATATGAATTGGGTTGGGTCGAATATGAATCACTAAATTTGCATTGCATGGAAAATGGGTCAAAACGGATTAATGGATTTATTTGGGTCGAAAATGATTCGACCCAACCCGATCCACCCATTTGATGAGTCTACCAATCAAATAAAGAACAATGACGAAAGAATCGAAGACCAACAAAAGGGAAGAGAGAGAGACTCCAGCAGCAAAACCGGGATATAGGAGATTCAGTTCCAAAGCGGGAAAAGCAGAAGAAAAACTCTGCAACCAACCTTTAATTCTATTATATACCCTACTACAACTATTATGTTGGCCTGTAAAAGTAAACTAAATCAAGATAAGCACTGTTGGAATTCCAGAAATATTTCTTATTTAACTAAAACATGAAAGATATCACATAAAGTTGTTAAAGAATCCCATCGAATAGTTACGGTTTTAGTATTTCCTGTTAAATCATCAAGGTAAAATATATACATGTATTCTGTTAAAACCCATGAATTCTACCAATGCTGTTGATCAATTCCACAATGACTGTTGCAGTAAGAATAAATGTGAGAATATTTACTTCCATAATCTCTCTGTTTTTTATTATTATTTAATAACTCGAGAAAATTCCCGAATAGATCAACCTTTTGAACTTGTGTGCAACCTGGAATACAATCATAAAGTTGGATGCAGAGGCTCAACCACTGCTGCAACTCAAGGTGGGAAAAGCTACATCAATGACGAATTATCTCTGCTTCAAAATTAGAGGACTTTTCAAAACTGTACACAATTTACTGCACTGATGAGACCTTAAATGCTTTATACCTTTCATTACCCAATGACTTTACAGAAGTTGGACAGCTGCAATGGCTGGAATTTTCTCTCGTAGTTTTTGCGTGACAGCAACTCGAACAGTCATGACCCCAGCCGCAGGACCAGTTATTCTAACTTTAACTATTGGTTCTTCAATGGCCACTAGCTCAAGTGGTCCGCCAGCTGCACCAACAAGGTATGGCCTTATCTCTTCAAGAACCTGAAATAATCAAGCAATAACATGTTAGCCAGCAGAATTCCAGGTCACGCGCATAAGGATATCTTAATGGGGTTGCCTAAGCGACCCGAGGCTTGTTCAAGCAAATGCAATTTGAGACAGACAGATGGACAGACAAGGTCAAGAATGCTATGGCAAACAAGTGTGTGAGTTCAGTCCCAAGATAAAGAGAATATCTGAAAAAATGCAAATCCCAACTTGCTAACTCCTTTTCTGACCAAAAAAAAAAAATTGTTAACTCCTTTCAATGACCGTCTCTATTCTTTTGGTAAGTTCTAAATTTTAGTGCATGAGTTGCACACATGAATTTCCTACACTACATTTGTGTAGACCGAGATTCAATACTTTTGAGTTATTTGCAGTACAGTTGGGCAGGTCACTAATAGATCCTCAACTTGTGAGCTCTTTGTGGACTTGAGGACCTGAACCTGATGCTAAGGGGTAAATAGAAAGACAGATCAAACTTAGCAGGAAAGGCAAAGGACAAACACACCATTACTTGAGTTGAGAGCCCAAGGATCCAAACCTATCATTAGTTAAAATATCCAAACTAATTCCAGGAGACCTAGTTGGCAATGTAGTCAGGCTCAACTGAAAAAGAGGTCAGCAATTAATCCTCAACTGGTGAAGGTTTCGTAAAGTTGAGGAGTACCACATGCATTACCACCATTAGCAAGGGATAGATAAGGACAGAAATCAAGCTTAGCAGGAAAGAAAAAATACAAGCCAATCGTTACTCGAGAGCATAGGGATCCAATACCACCATTACTAAAAGTATCCAAACCCATTTGTTAAAAAAATAAGCAAGTAGAGATACCTAATTAGAGACCCTGAAGCAGTTAACAAAAAGAAATTCTTTAAGGAGAAATATCCTAGAAAATCAGTCCTAACAGTTGGGGAAAAGGACAAAAGCGTTAATGATACCAAACAACATATATTTGCTGCGATATCTTACTTACCTTCTCTATGTTTTCCTCATTCATCTCAAGGCCAGTTTCTTCATCGCTATTGGTTCCACTGCAATGATTTCGGGAATTTTCTCCATCAAACGACACTCAATGCCCATCTTCATTGTCATTACAGAACTTGGACAAGAACCACATGCTCCTTGTAACTTCAACCTTACAACATTGCCATCAATCTCATGCAATGCAACATTACCCCCATTAGAAATTAGATAGGGTCGGATTTCATCAAGCACACTCTCAACATTCTCTGCTGTCAGTGGAAGTTCCACCATTGACTCGGGTGTAGCGACAGCCTTCACAACTACAAGTCAAGAAAGGAGGAACACTTAGCAAAATCCACAGAAATCACAATCTTTATTCCCCGAAAAAAGAGTGCCCCAGATGAAGAAACAAGAACAGGATGCTGCTTGGGTTAAATCGGGAGCCAATTAGGCGAAAGTATGTTTCAACATTGAGTAGGATGGATGGCTCCTATTGTAGCTATCAATTCCAGAAGATACCTCTCAAAGATTGCCAGAGGAAGATAAGAAGAGATGTGCACAAATGTTTGGGTTGGTAGAACCATAGTAGAAGACTCACTGGTATGTCCAAGTAACCGATAGACCTTAAACAAGGTCTTTCTTCACTTACCCAAGAGGAAACAAACCTTAAAGTTCTCTCTCCTCTCACTCTTATGCAGTGAAAGAGATGGCTAACCCAACCCAACCCAATGTCACCACAAAACGATGTAAACTGAATATTCCGACATTCAATATATAACCAGGTGCATGAGAATTCATCTGCAAATTCAGAGACCAGCATGTTAATCAAGGAACCAACAAGATGATCATCTTTTTTGCAGTTTCTTACAACCAACACGCAAAACCAAAAGGTAAAATAAAATTGAAGTCTTCAGAGGTGTTTGAGAGGACTTTTCAACCCTCGCTTCTAGCTTTTAAGAGGTGCTATATTTCCAAAAACTATAGCAGTTAAAACAGATATAAGCTGATTTTTAATATCTGTCTATATGCACTTAATAGCTTCTAATCCTTCATTCTGGAAAAAAAATTTGATTACTTGGCATTGTGCAGAACAACTTGCACAATGCCAAATCCTTGCACATAGCATTTTCTAAAAGTACAACACACTAAAAGATCACTCAATCACTTCTGTGGCCATCACTACAACCATGCACAGGACAACAGAGCTCTAAAGCTACAACACCACAAAAAAATTGACAGCCACTCCACACCCACATTGCTTCCTTCCTCTCTTTCGAAAGAGAGATCAAATAGAGCATCCTCAGGGGCAATTGAAGCACAGCCGAACTGTGCCCTCCTTAAAATAGTGATCGAGAAAAGCCAAGAACCAAAAGAAAAACACAAGGAAGAAGAAATCCCTCCTCCAGATAACAAAATTAGAGTCAAGTTTAGATTTTTTTTTTTTTACCATTCCCTCGAAATACCATTCCAATCAGCACCACAAGCATGCACTCGGTCAACGTTCACACAGAACAAAAACCACTCCTCGAATTTATCAACAAAAAGCGAACTTTATCAACTGCAGACCTCGTCCCAGTCACGAATCATAAGCAGCAAATAACATCCCACCGCAATCGATTTCAAGACTCTAACAATTCATCACCCAATTTCAGGGACCAAAACATGAAGTCAAAAGAGAACCAAGCAGAGAAAGAGCAAGAGAGATCGAGAGAAAGGGGGGAAAAACAACAAAAGCGAAGAATGTCATGCCTTACGGATCAGCTCTCAGATCAGGCGATGGCTTATCAAGCAATGCGAAGGGAAGCAAAAGAACAATCGGACTTCGGATTTCAGTTTGTGGGACTCTGGTCGGCTCCCTCAAGAAAACGGAACCGTGAGATGTCGAGAAAATATGGGGTGCCACTTGTGATTCCACCGTGGAAAAATCCCAGCCCGTCGGAGGCGTCGGCGTCGGCGTCGGAGGCAAGGGCGTCGCTCGTCGGAGGCGGCGTCGGCGTCGGCGTCGGCTCGGCGCGAGCGAGACGGACTTCGGATTTCAGTTTGTGGGACTCTGGTCGGCTCCCTCAAGAAAACGGAACTGTGAGATGTCGAGAAAATATATGGTGCCTCTTGTGATTCCACCGTGGAAAAATCCCAGCCCGTCGTCGGCGTCGGAGGCTAGGGCGGAGGCGGCGTCGGAGGCAAGGGCGTCGCTCGTCGGAGGCGGCGTCGGCGTCGGCGTGAGGAGACGGACGTCGCTCGTCGGAGGCAGCGGACCTTGCTCGTGGGAGGCGACGAACCACGAGCGGCGGACCTCGCTCGTCGGAGGCGTCATCGGCGTCGGAGGCTAGGGCGGAGGCGGAGGCGGAGGCTAGGGCCTCGCTCGTCGGAGGCGGCGTCAGCGTCGGCGCGGCGCGAGCGAGACGGAGTGCAGAGCAGATGTGGATGGGGAGCGCGAAAGAGAGAGAGGAGAGAGAGAGGGCGCTTGATTTTTTTCAAAAATTTTCAGCTCAAACTGCTCTTAGCTCGCTGCCGCGAGATGACGGAGGGTCAACGGAGGATGGAAGAAAGAAGGGAAAGAGTCAGATTTTTTAATAAATCTGATTTGTGGGCCCGCTTGCCACGTGTCACGCACCCAATGGAGTTGTGTATTGCTGACGTGGAGTATTCCACTCACCCAATATTTTCTCCTTTGATTTGGTGGTCGACGCCTTTTATTGTTCTCTGTTTTCATTTTTTTACAAATTTACTCTTCGGGACACGCCGGACTCGCGTGTCGGAGGCGTGTCCGGAGAGTTGACTTCGTGTCGGAAATCCGACACCGTGTTGACCGCGTGTCGGAGGCGTGTCCACGCGTGTCGACGTGTCCAACGCGTGTCGACGTGTCCGACACCGACACGTTGGCCATTTTCAATCCCCAAGAATTTATCAAAACAGAAGCTTTCTCAACATTAATAACCACCAAGCTTCCTAATGCGCGGCGATGGTTGATAGGGTTATGACATTATGGTCGGGCCAAGTTCATCATTTCAGGGTCCTTTTTCTTTTTCTAAATTACAGCTTCATTAACGATTCTCCACGAAACATTCTCATCTATCGTCACAAAGCAAACGAATTCATCCAAAGCGTCCCGATCCTAGTAAAAACCAAAACGTGGGAAATCTCGCGCAGACGGTTCAAACCCGCCTCCGACCGCGGCGTAAATTTTCAGTCTCGGACACGACGAATCGATGGCGGCGGCGAGGAGGAACGGGGCGAAGATCGATATACCGAGCAAACAACACATTTCAAAGAAAACCCACGAAGGGAAACACGTACCGGAGTCCGATCACGCGCGGCCGGAGAAGGCGATGATGAAGCGGCCTTTGGATTCGATGATTGAAGTCCGAAGAGCGAGCGAGTAGGGGTTTTGAGGTGGTTTTAGCATTTTAGGCTAAGCCAGTTCGAATGGCGGGCCGGGTCGGGTCGGGCCGATCTTTTCTGGGCCGGGTATCTTTCGGGCCGAAGACATCCATTCTTAAAGAGAAGCATGCTGCATTTGGGCTTGGGTGGGCTAATGTCGGGCAATGTTCAACGTGCTAGTAAGTTAAATCACGTAAAACCAAGTTCTAATTCATTCGGGCAATGTTCAACGTGCTAGTAAGTTAAATCACGTAAAACCAAGTTCTAATTCATTATCACTTATCTATATAGTTAAAGCCGGAACTGAGCGAATATTTCTAAACCATCGATGCCATCGAACTTTCCTTGAGAGAAGAAAGAATCATGAGATTTTTAGGATTCGACGTTTTAGGCTGCGTTCGGTCGAGTTTTGAGGAGATGCAAGTACTGTTTTAGGCTGTGTTTAATTGAACTTTTGGCTTAAAGTGTATTTACTCAAAGCAAATACTGTTTGATTAGTGACTTTTGGTGTAGTTTTTTGCAAAGTAACTTTGAAGTTTGAAGAAGAAAAAAGAAAAACAAAGGAAGCTACTGTTCATCATCTTTGAGGGGCCTAGGCAAGGGCTTCGAGGGGCGCCGCGAGCCCAGGTGAGGGCTCTGAGGTTGCTCAACCCAGCCGCGACGATACTGGGGTCGCCTCGTGCGGCGATGCTCGACGATTTGCTTGCACGATGTATATCCTCTCTTATGCTATGTCTATGTTATCTATGCTTAGACGTGACATCTCTCCAAACCCTTTTTCGTTGATCTTTCCTATATGTAGTCTTGTTATAGTACATAAGTTATGCAGTACACGGAGCCAAATTCAGTCGAGTTAAACCGTACCAATTATTCCCTTCGCTTATGTTGTAATAATTGTTCTAAGAACTAGGTTAAAACTTAGATTCTTAATGAGTTTGAGTTATTTGTAGCGAGTTACATTAACTCGTCTCCATGAATTAGATTAGATTCTTAGCGACAAATGCTATATTTTTTCCAAGATTCATATAGTCACACTTTCTTCCTCCAATTAATAATGTCTCTAATTAAAGAATAATATCACATCTCGAATTATTCTCGTATCTTATTATACCGCTTTTTCTAATATATTCACGGTTGATATCGATTTAAGTCACACGGTCTAAGGTAATTTCGTCGATATTATTCTTTTGGTCATTCCATTGACAAAACTGTCGCCAAAAGATGATAACATTTGATTGATTTGTACCTATGGTCTCAAATGGCGATTGTTGGGTATCTTTGATTTGCTTATTCTAACAACTAAAATAATGTCATAATGGTGGTACGATGGACAGGGACACGATCCCTCCATAGTCTATGTAGAAAGTAAAATTAGGCAATCAAAGATGATTTTTAATAAGAACTTGTTCGTGGATTCCTCTATTGTCGCCATCGATTTCCCTTTCATGAGCAAAAATTTTCCTTTTCTTGGCCACCACCTTTACTTGGTCGCTAGAGCTGTTTTCATGATGTAGCCTCACTTGACAATGGTGGCTAATCAGGAATGAAGAAATTTTCTGCTTTTGCAAATTGATCATTCATATATTATTGATCTGCTATACTATACAAATATATTTGATGCCTAAATTTGTTCAAGACTTGAACAAGAAATCGGACCGAAAATCACTGATTGCAATAAAACCGGTCCGACACCTCCTTGGAATCGCCTAGAACCGACCAGTTCAGTTCAGTTCGGACGGTTCCGATTTAAGCGGTTCCCTTTGCACACCCCTAATTCAAGTTGCTTAAGCCTGGATTTGTTCTCTTAAAACCCTATACTAAGATGGGGGTTTCATCTTATTTTTCTTTCCCCTTTTCTTTTCTTCTCGCACATATTGGATATAAATCTTCTAAACAATCAAAGAAAAGAAAAAAACAATCTTCTAGTGGAACTTCTCTTTTAAACGCAACAGAATTTTTCTCATTTAAAAACTCCTAGTGGAAGTCATTGCACGGGCATATCCCATACAAGCATCTCTAGATGTGTCTAGCATATCTTATGAAAATCAAAATTAACATATCGTTGAATGAGTAGCATAGTCATTGCACAGGCATATTCGAACACTAATTTTGATTGTGGAAACAAAAACAAAGACCAAGAATTCAACCCACACGATGATGATCTAAAATCGGTAATTGATATTGTGAATATATTTTAATATGATGGCATAGGAAATATTCACTTAAGTGCTCAAGAATCGAGATAAGATAACATTAAGGTTGTCAATGGCCATTTTTTTCTTTGTACACTATAATTGAAGAAAGGTGGCATGGAAAAGATGATGAACTTGTACGCGCGCTCATATGTTCCCAAGATCTTATTGGAGTGATTTCATGGTTTTCCACATCATTGCGGTGCACAAATTTCAAATTCAGGAGGCTAGGTAAAAGTTGCCTGGCAAGTAATTCAAAAGGTTGCATATATTTCACTGTGAGAATCAGTGAAGGCCTATTTCTCAGTCTTAGGCGAAATAATGGTCGTTATCAATTCATCGTAAGGTCGAATTTCTCATCATTTCTATGAGAATTTCTTATGAACTCTCCTTTTACCATTGTAAATAAATTACCAAGATGCATCTTGGGGTGCTGCGAGAGAACACTATGAAAAAAAATACATTCCCCATATCAGTGAACACTATTAAAAATATATATATTACCATTGTCGAAATAGTCTCGTTTGTGCTTTCCAAGTGATCAATCTCACAGAATTTGCTTATTTTACTACTTCTTGTTATCTCTTCGTCATTTCATAATAAGAAAATATCTTTTACTACCTCTTTTTGAATTTTAAAATATAAAATATATATTTGGAATTAATTATCAATATGAAAAAAAAGAGCTTACGTGTCAATACTTGTTCCTCAATATGTACAGGTTTTGGGAAATTTTCAAGTGTCCATTAATTGGAAAAAAAAAATTAAGTTTTAAACGTATATAGACAAGATAATTGTCACTTCAAGCAAAAAATGTGGAAGTAGGCTTTCTTTTTTTCTCTACTTTTCGCGCGATCTTTGCGCCCTTCGAAGAGACCAAGTAATTTATGTTCCTCTCTTGTCAAATCAGTATCGACTTTAGAGCAACATGACAAAGCCAGATTCTGCAGAAGAAATGAAAGAAACTGCAAATTTCATATCTGACGAAAGCGCACTGCATTTGCACGCACCAGGGTCCGAGACTCTCCCTCCTCCTCTTCCCTTCCCCCCCCTTGTTTTACGCCACTTGTTTCTCCATGGCCAGTGGTTTTCCTGTGAAATCTCCACGCCTCCCTTGTTCTTATTGGCTGCCTTTGTCTCCATATCATTCTTTTTGGATATGGCTGATGGAGTTCTCCGAGGTGTTTTGGTTCACCACCACTATTATTACGTACTATAATATATTTTGTGGGGTTGCCAGGGAGTGTTGGGATCAGACAGAATCCGTCTTGAACTTCTCATCATCAATCCCCATATGTAAATTAGGATGCAGACGCTTCGAGAACACAGATAATGTTGATAATTTCCTATGGAATATTTTATCTTGGAAACCACCGGAAAAACCTTGTTCCGGATGAATTTAAAAGGTATTAATCATTAAGGATAGAGGGTGCGTTTGTAAACACTTTCGGAAATAACTTTTGGAAAAATACAAAGGACTTCAGGTGAAAAAGTTTTTGTAAAATGCAAACAGTATTTGGTAAAATGTAATTTTAAAAACAATATTGAGAAGCAACTTTGACTTAAATTCCATTTGGAAAAAACTACATTGGACTTTTTGCTAGTTTAAAATTAAAACTTCTTAAACTCTTTCAGTGAAACTTAATCGCCAACTAGCCTCACCTGAGGTCACTCGACCTCAAGTGCCTGAGGTCGGGCGATCTTAGGTGAGGCTCGCCAGCGCCAGTCTGGTGTTGCCGACGGCCTGAACCCTCGCCAGTGACGTCACCTTAGATGGGGACATTCGAAATTATGAAAGATTAGTGATGGCAAAGTTGGAAGAAAAAAATTGTAATTGCATTCCGAAAATGCTCAAAACTCAAAAGTCCTTTGTGTGAGAAACAGTCGAATATATACAATTATAAATATTATGCTTATAGTAGCTATAAAAGCTTGGAGACGAGTATACAACAATTTAAATGACCGAATTGTCCCGATAAGTGTTTCTGGACTGTAGGATTTAAGTCGCTGAGAACTCAAAGGTAAGTGAATTTCTCATTATAATCTAGTTTTTTTTTTAACTCCAACGAGAGCTAATATTTATTTAGTATTTTGATCCGATGGTTTTATGGCAAAAGGTAAATGAAAAGTTGTGCGTTGGTAGTTTTTGTGGCACAAAAATGTAGGTGTCTCTAGTTACACGTGTGTGTAATTTCAAAGAAAATGACCTTTGAAGACATCCATTATAAACAAAAAATAAAGCAATATCATAAATTGTTAAAGTTATCCCACATCACTCAAATACAAAATTGTAATGAGCTGTATAGGCAGATGATTTCCCTCCCAATAATAGCTTACTGTGTAATTGTGCTAATGTAATGTATAGTGACAAGATCCATACATGACCGCCCTTAAGACTAATAATGGTAAACAGTGATAACTAAAGAGTTTAAGCGAAGAGAAATTGCAATTAGGATTTATAGAGGTTCATCATATCGTGCCTATGTCCTCTCTTCCAACTATAGTAACTTACATAGCCCGAATTCCACTAGTTACACAGAGAGTACAAATGCCGTATTACTACAAGTGTCGAATTCTCCCACAAAAAAGCAGATTCTTTCACCGCAACTCCGCTATAGATCCAGTCACTAACGAAACTTTCCAAAATTTAGTCTCGCACCCTACACGCCTAGTTGAGTAGAACACATTTCTCAAACTACAAACTACACATTTCTAGTGATTACAAAAAGTCCTTCACAAACTTTGTCTCGTACATAGACAAATGCCTTCTCCCTAGGAACAATCACTCTATTATGCATTTACAAACGGATTTGTCATTCTTGCTTACTTTTAAAAACAATATCAAATGGCTATTACCTCACACTAAAAGATGGATTCAAAAACCTCTAAAGAATGCCCAATTTCTCTTGTTTTGTGCTTGTCAATTTTGTCACTTCTATCCAACTTTTCTTCTTTTATAGTGCTCCAAATTCGAAACTTGCAATAGAATCTGGTAGCTGTTACATCCATTGAATCCTCCTTGAAAAAACTCGATAAAATTCTTTAAAAAACTATATTTAGAACCTTGCTTTAATATGGGCAGCCAACCAAATCTTTTAATAATGGCAGGTTTTCATTGAGTCATCTCACCAATCTTTTGAGCGAATTTGTCAATGGTTTTGGGTAAAGATAATCTTGGTATATCATAATTAATTGACACGAGATAGGTCTTCAATTTTGAAACCCCAACGGTTATCAAATGGTTGTCAAATGGGAAAATTATTCAATAAGTCTTAAACTTATTATACAGTCGACAATTTATTCTTAAATTTTTCAATTTGTTCAATTTATCCTTAAACCTTTTGACAATATTTAAAGTACTTCTTTCGATCAATTTTTCTTGGAAATTGCTAACGTAGTAGTCCAGTCAACTCTGGTCGTCTCACGTGGCACACGCGGTACTGACATGGACGATTTTTATATTTTTTAAAATTTTCTGAACTTTTTATTTTGATTTCCTTTTCTTTTCTTTCCTTTTTTCTTGTTTGTCCTATTTCCCTCCGCCAGTCGCCGAGGCCTCAGCAATGGCGAGTGGAGGTCGTTGGCGACATACGATGGCGTTACGACCCGAGGGAAATATGAAAATCAAGAAAAGGGAAAGATAAGGAAAAAAAGAAAAAAATTTAGAAATTTTTAAAAAATTGCAAAAAAAGTTTACGTTAGGGATTTTCGGTGACATTCACCGGAAGAACTACATTGAAAAATCGTTAAAAGATTTAGGATTAAATCGATTAAATTGAAAAATTTAGAACTAGATTGATGGTTGTACAATTTATTTATAACTTTTAGGAAATTTCTCTTATTGTCAAATCCATCTTTGAAAAGTACACATTGCAATGCAACACTTATATGCTAAGAAAATATTAGGTGAGACGAATTCTGCCAGTAAATAATCACTTCATTCAGCACGCGACACGTGTCCACATGGGTCCCACCTGTAAGAATTTTTTAAAGTCCCTCTCTCTCCCCAGTACTTCTCCATCCATCTCACCTAGGGTGAGCATGATTCTAGATAGAACCTAGAACCTAAGAATCGGACCCGTGGAATATATCCGGTTTTAGGTTACAAGGTTTGTAGGGTAGGTTCCAGGTTCTAAAAATTATCGAACCTTTTTAGACGGATAAATTTCAGATTCTAGGTAGATGAAACCTGTAACCTGTAACAAGTTTTTGTGTTTTTTTTTTATCTATGTATTTGCACGATCTTGCGGTGTTTTATAGTGTCCGATGATGTGTGTATAATTTGAAACTACTAGTTTGAGCTTTCATTTTATGATCGAGGCTTTTACTTTGTTAATAGTTTATATTATTCGTGTGTCTAAATACAAGTTGTGGTTAGTGAATTTTAGCAGCAAGTGACGATCATTAAAGATGATAATTAACTATAATCGTTCAATTAATAATATAGGTGAACCTAAATAGACCTTGAAATCGACCCTAGAATCTGTGATAGGGTAGGTTTCAATTTTCAAGGTATGCAGATAGATTTTAAATTTAAAAAAATGAGAAACCTATTTTCAATAATTAGGTTCCAAATGCAGAAAAGCTGTACGGAACCTGAAACTACTCGCTCCTGATCTCAGTGTTACTTTTGCTCATCTCTTTACGCAACTGCAACTTCAAAGCTCAAACTCCATGGAAGCAAGTTTCACTAGGAAGCCACAGACGCTAGTCCTCGCACGATGCAGAAGAAGAGCTTCACTTTTGCTTCTACTACTTTATTTTTGCGGCCATAATCTCTTCAACATGGTTGATCTCCAAGCATTTGTGACTAGATTTGGATGAGGCCATGGCGAGGCAGGCCTCAGCCAGACCATTGCGGCCGCGACCGGTGAGGCTGGCCTCACCCATGACCGGCTGAGGCCATGGCGAGGCTGGCGAGTCTCTTTTCTCTGAACGAAGAGGAAGAAAAGAGAAGTATAGAGAAGATGAGAGAGACTCTATTAATGTTAGTAACGGAGGGGAGGAGAGAAAGTAATTGTGAAAGAAAAGAAGTGGACGGAGAGGCCATCACCCACGACCGGCGAGGCTGGCGAGTCTCTTTTCTCTGAATGAAGAAGAAGAAAAGAGAAGAACAGAGAGGAAGAGAGAGAGTCTATTAATGTCAGTAACGGAGAGGAGGAGAAAAAGTCACGGTGATAGAGAAGAAGCGGACGGAGAAGTAACAGGGGAGAGAGAGGGTCGGAGAACGGAGAGATGGACAATAAAAATTTTGATAGATGGGACCTGTTGGACACGTGTTTCGCGATGAATGAAGTGGCTATTTGCTGACTTGGCAAGACTATCTCATCTAATATTTTTCTCCTTACGTGCTTGATTCGGCAGCCCCATTGTCCGAGTGATCCCGACTGCGCACTGGATTTATCCTTGACTCTAACAGCTTTCCTTTTTCCCTATGCAATTTTCCAGACTAAACAAAGTCTGACTCATGTTATCGTAGAATTTGAACCTAGCTTCTACTTGGTTTGAGTACAATCTCTACTTTTTTAAATAAACACATTAAACATCATGTAGTAAGTTTTGTTACCATCAAAATCATTCGGGACTACTTTTCAATATTAACTAATTATTTCAAATAATATAAATGATCATTTTTAAAAAAGTATTATCTTAATTATTCATTTTTTGTGAAATAACCGAAACATAAATACCAAATTGGTTTAAAAGGAAAAATCTGTTCAAGTCAGATATGACCTAATTTTTTTTTTAAAATCGAAACCCATCATTTAGTCAAATATAATCTCTTCTCACCTAAATTCGTATCAAAGGGAAGTGGAATAATGTTCCCCCTCTTTATGATGGTATATACAAATATATCATCTTATCATGCCCACTTCACCCTCTTCCCCATTCGTTCATTTCCTCCATCTTTCTGAATGCCTTTCGTACTCCTTTGATTAACGGCATAAGTACACTCAAAAGGCACCATAGGTTACATACGTTATTTAGATAATAAAAAAGAAATAAAGCCTTGAATGATTAGGATAAAGATTTCTGTCTCGGATGAACAAATTGTTTAGACAATTGAAGAAAGGCTTATTCACCAGTTAATGTGGGAAAATAACCGGTTACAATATCCATCAACTCGTCGACAAAAAAAGATTACGTTTTCCCTCTTCACTTCGACACAAATCACTCACCAACCCAAAATTCGTCAAAATTTGGTACAGCTTCCTTGTCCAAAACAAACATCACAAGTCCTAATTAAGCACTCTAATCAGCAGCAGTTGATGCTCATGTTAGAGAATTCGCTAGACAGGCCAGACCCGCGATTACCCAGATCACCGTTCTTGGATTTCACCGTAGATTTAGGCAAGAAAGAAGCACCGTTCTTGATCTTGTGCCCATGATCACCATCTTTTCTGTTGCCTGTGGTCGAAGCACCACTGGCAGTTCTGATGGTTCTCGAAACTGGGTCTCGGAGACAGCTCTCGGAGAGCCACTTGGAGAGCATGTAAGTGGTGGTCCTCCATGGAGGCAAGTAAAGGCCTCGCTCTCGGAGCGACTCCTTGGCCGCTGAGCAGAGGAGGGAGATGATCTGGTTGAGCTTGACCTCGTCCCCAACGAAGATCAATGGCAGCGTGTCTGTGAGCTCCCTGTAGCTCTCTGTAGGCCTTGCCACTTCGAACTGAGACTTGAAGTCCACGTCCACTATCAGCCTCTTCATTTGATGGTGCTGGTGATGATTCTGATGATCATCCTCATCTTTGGTCAACACATCGATGTACTCATAGTCCCCTGTTTGAGTATCCCAGAGAAACATAAGACTAACTAGTTCATATTAAGCTTACTTTTCGATGAGAATTTGCCTGCGGAGAGAGAGAGAGAGACAGAGAGAGAGAGAGAGAGAGAGACTCACCGCCGGGGCAACAGAAGGAGGTGACCCAAGAAGTGTGGCAGATAGAAGCGTGGAAGCCATCCATCTTCAGCCTCCTCACCAACCATCTCTTCAAGCCCGTGGTCTTCTCTGTGTCCCTCTTGTGTCTCATGTGCTTCAACACACTCTTGAGGACATCAACCTCAGCTCGTGTTCCGCTTTCAAGCACATCCTGAAACCCCCACAAAAAAAAAACAATAATTAAGTTCAGAACACATATGCAAACAGGGAAAAGAAAAGACACAGAAAACAGGTAAACATACCCTCAAGGCAAAGTAATAGGACTGGTGATGATTGTCAGAAGCTTGCAAGCACTGGGCGGAAGATGATGATGATGATGATGGCGATGATGGGTAGTCATCAGATTCGATGAAGTCCTGGACCATCTGAACCAGCTTCTCATCATCTTCCATGTTGTCCATCTCTCTCTCTCCCTCTGAGGAGTGTGCTTTATGTGTGAAAGCTCCGGCTATGGCGTTGGTTCGAGCAGTGGGATATATATCTAAGACGACATGACACGAGATGACTTAAGCGGTGGGGAAAATGTTTGCACTGTGGTAAGTGGTGACAGAATGAGGTCATGATAAGTACATTTCTTCTTTCCGCTCGTAAAAAGGTGAAGTATATGGTAAATACGAGATTAGTCTATTGAAAGAATATTTCTGCAGAATATCCTCGCTCTTTCCCTCCCCTTCCTCCTTTATATTAAAGAAAGGGCATGAAATGACACGCTACATGTCCCATAATGTTACAGTGCTTTCTCTTTTGGATGGTGATTTTCATGTGGTCCAATAATGGAAATTTTACTCGGACTGTCTCCTGCACAATCTCGTGTTAGGTCTCTGAGCTCCTTCGCATCATATCGAAAAGAGATATACTCTTGACATTTTGAAAAGATGCTTATGAGTCAATCTTGAGTGAATTTTTGGATGCCATGGATGTCAATGGTGGATCTTAACGTAGGCTAAGAGTGACTGCAAAGTGCTTGAGAAAATTACGATATTCACTCAGCAGGAGCAAAGTAGAGAACTTTGCACGTAATCTCCTAGCGACAAGTCAAAAAACAATTATAGTACCATAATGTACATTAATGACGTTCGGTTTCTCGCTTCATTCTGATTGTGCAATTGCTTTCCATGGCGGAGAAAATTCCATGCAACTCTTGAGCATAACAAACCATAGGTAAAATCATAAGAAAGTAGATCACGCTTCATGCAATTTGGTCATGAATTAGGGCCTTGAAGAAGCAACCTTTTTCCAACGTCATCTCAAGAGCTTTTCATCTCAATGATCACCTCGATTGCGGTAGGATATAAAAATTATTTCACCAAATGAAATCCATCAAGCGAGCGGCTATAATCCTCAAATCAATTGCGAATGAAATTGCTTGTGTGAAATTCCCTTTGTTTATGGTCTATTTTTTTCAATAAATATTATCTAAGAAAAGCATCAAACAAAGAAAACCAAATTGAAAAGGAAAAAAAAAACGAGTCAAAGTAAAGTAGGCGTCCGACCGGAAAGAGGGGGATCCCATGAACCTAGATATTGCCAGGTGAGGAAGGAGGCAAATCCTAGTAAATCTTAGGTACGAGATTTCCCAGTGAGTGACAATAATAATGGCAGGCAACAAAATTGACACGATCCAGATCTGTTGCCTTGATATGGATGTACGAGATATGTCCTTTTGTGGTGACACAATTTTTAAGCAAACACTACACTAATAGCAGGTTTAATTAGCTAGCTAATCCTCGTCTCTTTTTCCCTCGATGCCCTATGCTGCGTTTTGAGAGAGATTTAGGGAAAGAAAAACGAGAGTCAAATTTTCATCCAATTTTAAATTTTATCTCTCTCGTGCTCTCGTAAGTTTTAAAATGAATTTGGTAAGTAAGTCGAGTGAGGATTGGTAGCCGAAAACTACTTAATTCCTAAAATCAAAGAAAATTTGGTGAGCCGCTTCAATTAAGGTAGGTAATTTGTGTAAAAAAAAGATGGCAAGTTTCAGGCGTGGCTATGAAATGAAAATAAATTTTTGCAAATGATAAGAAAATTGGAAAATATATAAGATAAACAAAATACTAGATGATAATTAAATGGGAGAAAAGTTGTTGAGTCTACTAATTTGAGTTAGTAATTTCTAAAAAGAGTTAGCAAATGTAAAGCGTTCCTAACCAAGGAAAATAAAAATTCATAGCTCAATAGAAAAGTAGGTAAATAGACAAAAATAAAAACAATTAGGAAAATTCCAAATAAAGCCCCGAAGTGCTCTCATTTTCTAAAATAAAGGCATGAAGTGGATCTTGCGTCAAATAAGGATTTGAAGTGCTCTCTTTTTCTCAAATAAGGGCTTGAAGTGGTTATAACAGTTTCAAATAAGTGTCTCACCTAGCCGGCCGGCCAAATTTTCCGAACGGTTAAGGGCATTTCGTCCAAAAAATAATTTTAACATAAATTTTAGTTAAATTAAATTAAAAATTGTAAAAAGTTTTTTTTTTAAAAAAAGAGAAAAAAACAGGGGAGGGCTGCCTGCGGCCGCCGCCCCATCGCCAATGGCCCTCGGCGAGGGTCTCCTGACCCTCCCGGTTTTGGCAAGTGCCTGGTGGCCCTCGCTGAGGCGCCGGCGACCCCACCGGTCATGGTCACCGCCCCATCGGCGATGGGGTGGTGGCCATAGGCGGGGGAGGGCTGTCAACCCTCCCCTTGTTTTTTTATTTTTTTAAATTTTAACTCTTTTTTTTGAGTTTGTTAACACAAAATGAAAAAAAGAAAGAAAAAAAAGAAAAAAAATTAAAAGAAGAAAATGCCTTTGACTCCAATGAGGTTAAATCCTTTTTTTAGACTGAGATGGCTACTTCAGATCCCGATTTGAGGCAAGGTTCACTTCAAGCCCTTATTTGAGAAAATGAGGGCACTTCAAGTATTTATTTGACACAATGTCCACTTTAGAGCTTTATTTGAGAAAATAAGAGCACTTCGGGTCCTTTTTTGAAATTTTCCCAAAACAATTTGAAGGTTGGTAACTTAAATAAGAGTTAGTAACCCAAAAGTAGTTGTTATTTTGATCTAGCAAAAAGTGGAAAATTTCTCTAGCTTAGGTTAGTAATTTCGTATAAAAGTTAGCAAATTCGAAGTGTTGGTAAACTATGCAAATAAAAGTTGCTAATTTGCAAACTATTAATATAGTTGGTAATTTCATAAAAGTGTTAGTAAGTTACATGAGAAAAAAGTCGTCAGTCATTCTTTATGGATCGTGCTTTTTCCACTCTCTCCTTGGCTAAAACACTCCCCGATTTAGTGTTCCGAAAATTTTATCCTTCATCTCACCTTTCGGCATTTGAGAGCTACTATCCATTGGATTTACTTCTTTTCTTTTCTTGCGGGTCCCAATTTCCATCGTCTTCTTCGTTCTATCTCTTTTGCAGGAGAAAATATTTAGTAGTATCAGCGGGCCACGTCAATCGTTGACGTGGCACGCATTTGCCTAGTTGGATCTATTTATAGGCTGACACGTGGTGAATATTTTATAATGAAATAAACACATCTGAAAATTTGACTGTTGTCCATGAATGCTTATAGCAGCTTTTTTGCAGCAAAAAATTTGAACGCCCCGCCGAGAAGGGAGAGAGAGTTTCTCCTTCTTCCTTCCAATGCTTTTCTTTTCGGAGGAGAGAGAGTTTGTCCTTCGTCCTTCCAAGAGTAGCTCAAGCGTCTCTGTTTTTGCTTAGAATCGGACTCCTTCGTCTTCGCTCGACCGCAGCCTCGAAGACTTCCATTTTCGCGAGTACCGCCGCTCGAAGATCACCACTTTCGCAAAGACCGCCGGTCGACTGTCACTTCGAAGACCTCCATTTTCGCGAGGACGGCCGCTTTCACGAAGACCGCCGCTTTTGCTTAGAAGACCTCCTTGAAGCGGCGGGAGATGGAATACCCAATCCTGGATTCTGATCTCCAGAGCTTTTGTGCTCTTCGCGGCATTTTCGCAGGTTCGTCACCCTCTCTGTTCTTAGCCGTTTGGCTGCAGAGGAAAGAAAGAAAATACTCCAAGATCAGAAAAACTTCAGAAGGGAAGTTAGTTTTTCTGGAAATGGAAATGACGAGAGTGGTAGAGCGAATTTTAACTTTCTTTCTGGTTGCTTTTTTTTTTTTTAATCATTTTTGTCCTCAGCACAAGATTTTCTCATTAACGTCCTCCAGTCTTTAGTGGCGGACGCAGAGCAACAACCCTCGTCGGAGAGATTTATGCAGGTGGGCTTTCTCAGAGATTCTTTCTTTCCTAGTTATTTTGCAATGTGATGCCATGAACTGTTTGTTGTAATCTTCTGATAGATATTAGTGAGGTTTCTAAATTATCCGTGTTGGATCAGTGGTTAAGGAGTGGGCTTGTATGTGTGGAAGCTATAGCACCGTTTGGGTTCTCCGCATGTACAAATGATTCAATGTTCAAGCGTTCATGGGTTTGGGTTTGTGCACATCGATGCCTTTCTCTTAGTCTGTTTCACTACTTGGAGCATCCAACGTTTCAGTTTTGGATTAAGCATCACATCTTATTCATAAGCCCGCACTTGTTAGCACAGATTAGCTCAAATTTATGTGAGTAACTGATATATCATTAACATTGATCACAGGGAAGATGGAGTATTTGTCTGTCGTAGCAGCCAATAATAGCTATTCTTTGTAACGTGAGTGCTGCATTTCCGTGTAGCTGTTTGTTGATAAAATTTCTGTCCTTTAAATTTTGGGTTATTTCTGTTTGCAGATGCAACCAAGAGTTCTTCAAGAAGTCATGATCAAAGATTAATAACCATCGACTCAATTTCATCCCTGATCACGCCAATTCTTGGCAGCAGTGGTTCATAGGGTACACACTCTTGAATGTTTGCGCAGTTTCCATGTCTTCTAAAGCACTGGACCGATATGTTTTATGTATATTATGCCTCGACTTGCAATGTAAGTGTCTACATTTATCATCGTTGTCTCCTCAAAATGTGGACGTGGCTGAGCTTGGAGAGGCATCAAATGAAAATGAACAAAGTGGAACTTGAGTGGAGCAACCTAAGTTTGACCGCCGTAATTCTTCTATCTTAACTAAATTATTATTTGAATGATAGTATCTAGATGTCCAAATGACAGTCGCATCCTTTAAGGGAAACGTATGGAGAGGCATCAAACGAAAATGAACAAAGTGGAACTTGAGTGGAGCAACCTGAGTTTGACCGCTCTAATTCTTCAATCTTAATTATTACTTGAATGATGGTATCTAGATGTCCAGATGACACTCGCGTTCTTTAAGGGAAACATATGGTTCAAAGCTTCAGATGAGAAATTAATATCTATCACTTAGTTGCTTTTGACAAGAAAAATCGAAGGAAATTTTGTTATTATAGCATACCTAAAAACTTTTGAACAATCCCAGCTTATGTTTGTTCACGAAATTGGCAAATTATAGTAAATTGCTCGCCGGATGAGTGCAGTGTCAAATTGACAGTGCAAAAGTGGATGCAAGAATAGTTGGCCACCAGAGTATGCACCATATCCATCTCCCTTTCTCGCCATAGATTCGAAACTTCTCTATGATCCATTTTCAAGGTAATATGTACTATATAAGGTAAACAACAGTCTCTCTGAAAATAGAAGTTGAGAAATATATAGAAGATGTCAAGGGATAAACAAAGAAATCTTCTCCAAACAAAAACAGATCCTTGAAAATTTGATGCATCAATTGCTTCCACATTCAACTTGCTTGCTAAAGGAAGACTAAACAAGCAAATTGTTTTTGGGGTCAATCCTGCACAAAAGAGTATTAGAATTACTTCATGTCTTTCTAATGCTTATATGCATTTTTAGAATGGAATACCGCATATAAATAAGCTAAAAGAATTGATGGAATCATTCTATCACATTAACTAAGCAGTGCGATTGGTGGAGTGTCCTTTGCAATTACATACAAATGTGCATCTTCGCAATGCTCCTTTACTTTTGTTTGCTTTTTGTCCTTTTTCGCACTCCAAATCTCTTACAAATTGCATAGCATTGTATGTATTATAAGTTTCATCTTCATTAACAAATATCATGCCAATTCTAAATTCAAATTCTCAATCAATATTACACATGATGATATTATCTTTTGAAACCTTTAGAATTTTAAGAAAAGAATCTAATCGTTAATATAAAGCAAATACAAATTTAATTCTAAAAGGATAAGGTCATAGCCATTTCTCCTTAGAACAAGGCGTTGCCGGAAGTGAATCTCAAACACGAGTTTTGCGGTCCACCCATATTGGGTTTCTACAGTTACACAGAGAGGCATTCAATCCTCGTTTGGCCTTAAGGATTGCATTCCGACCAAAGCATCTAACACAATGCATCGACTTTTAAGCAAATCGGGAACCATTCATCTCCATATTACTGCCCACAATGTTTTCATTAACTAAGCAAGACTCAAATTGACTAAGCAAACGCAAAACAGAAAGAAAAAGGGAACTTTATAACAGCTCTGCAACCGCCGCACTCATAAACAGAGTAATCGGCGAGCTCCAGTAACAGATTCTCGCACTTGGGACACCGAACCAGCTTAACTTTCTCCGCGTTCTCCATTCAAAGACAAACCTCTGAGAACCAGAGCGACAAGTCTAAGCAGAAAATAGAAAAGCTTCTTTTATTATATGGGAAAAAATCAAGGGGACAGAAGGTGATTGAGCTGGATTCCTGAGGCCTCTGGGTGGTCTCCAATGTGAGCTTATTATATAGGAGAAAATACAAAGCTTCTCCTCTAGATTTTCACCTTAAATCCTTCCGGCGGTCTTCGGAGCGGCGATCGAGCGGCGGTCTTCGTGAAAGCGACCGTCCTCGCAAAAATGGAGGTCTTCGAAGTGACAGTCGACCGGCGGTCTTTGCGAAAGTGGAGATCTTCAAGTAGCGATACTCGCGAAAATGGAAGTCTTCGAGGCTGCGGTCAAGTGAAGACAAAGGAGTCCGATTCTAAGCGAAAACAAAGACGCTTGAGCTACTCTTGGAAGGATGAAGTACAAACTCTCTCTCCTCCGAAAAGTAAGCATTGGAAGGAAGAAGGAGAAGCTCTCTCTCCCTTCTCGGCGGGGCGTTCAAATTTTTTGCTGCAAAAAGCTGCTATAAGCATTCATGGACAACAGCCCAATTTTCAAATGTGTTTATTTTATTATAAAACATTCGCCACTTGTCAGCCTCTAAATGGATCCAACTAGGCAAATGCGCGCCACATCAGCAATTGATGTGGCGCACTGATACTACTTAATATTTTCTCCTTTTGCAGGCAATTCTCCTTTCACACTTTTCGTAAAACGTGGTATCCTCCGGTAAAGTTGATGAGGATGCAGAGGGTGATATCATCGGAATTATGAAGCCACAACAAGCTTGAGTCGGCAAGGCTCCACGCTAGAGATCTTCGTCTGAGACACGCCGTTGGAGACCTTCCTCTGCGGCGTCGGCTTCGGCCTCTCCGACGTGTCGATCCACGATCCACTATGGTACCACCTTGAGGGTGGCGATGCAGCGGAGACGAGTCGTATCTCCGGTGATATCCAGCTCTTCGTCTAGATTGGCATTTAAGGCGTGGAGCTTGGAGCGCTGTACGTGGCTCGCATGCGCTATAAGGTCTACCGATCTCCAAAGCTATAGTACTTGCATGTGATGGTGATCAAAGCTCAGGACCTCCACATCACTTTGAATCTGCCGCCATTGACGGTGCGAGTGGTGAGGGTCGATGCACAGTTCGTGTGGAGTGTCGAGGGTCAAGGAGTACGGTTTCTATACTTTTTGATCTAATTGCTTGTTGCCCTTAAGTAATTGATATTGCTAAGTGCCATGACGAGGAGTTAAAGTGTCGCGACCCGCCAGATTTTTCCATGGAAGAGGGAAAATGTGGTGTAGCCTGGTATGCGTTAAGTCTAGGTCTGAGACTTAACTTGGGCTCTTCCAAGCCCATACCATATCGCGACTTGTGGTTTAGGTTTTTAACCTGCAAATGATTTTTATTTAGAAGTCGCCACTAATCAATTTAGGGGTGGGTTGACTAGAAACCCAAATAAAGTGATGGAAAAATCACCTTATTCCTACGAACCAGAGATTAAATGAGTTCGGGGACTTTGTTACACTAATTAAGTGACTAGTGCCTTTTCGGTACCTTTCATCCTGTTCTTTTCAAAAAATATTTGTCAGGCAGTTTAAATTGATTTTAAGACCTATTTCCTAACATGTGCGGTCATCAAACAAGTGCACAATCATTAATGATTAGCAGTCAAGATAGATATGCAGCCTAATGTTCTAATCCTAACTAAGGCGACAACATTCAAAACATGAAAATTTTTGTAATTATATTATAATTAGAAACAATATGCATAATAGTAATACAACAGTAGTAAAAATAACCTGCAAAATCCTATTATATAGCCTTATAGGCTTATCTGATTTAGACATAATTATTAATAAAATAATTCACATAATCTAGAAAAATATTCAAAAATACTAATTTCTAAACTATTTCTTAATTTTAAAATAAATATTTTTTAAATTTTTACTTTTTTTAAAAATAATTTTTAATTAAAAATAAATATAATATTCAGTCGGATCGGGTCGACGGACCCGAGTCGGGTTAGAACTTACTCGGGTCAATAGATTTGACCCAAAGTTGTTGACCCCGGTTTTGAATCGGATCGAGCTCGGTTCGATGGAAAATGCCAAAATAAGACCAGTTCAACCCGGTTGAACCGGCCCTATTTGGCAAGCAAATCAGACTGGCTGACTTGTCGGTCGGTTCAGGCCGGATTCCGGGCCCTTTGAAGCGTGGGAGACCATCAGTTGGGCAAAAATCCGGCGATTTGCCGATTATTTCGCCCGACCTTTGGCCTTAGCTTCTCAGCAACTCAAGCTGAGGAGATTAGGAGGGAGCAGATCGCCAGTGAGTGACCAGAGTGGTCATCGGCCAAGTCCCGACCGGGGCTCATTAAGCCCAAACATCGGTTGGAGCTTGGCCGGATGACTTAGGTCATAATTTGACCTAATCTGGTCTCCAATAGCTATCACAAAACCACCCAAGGGGACAAGGACTTCCCGGTCAACCTTTACGTCGCCGGTTGAGGACTGAAACAAAACAACCTTACTTGGGTATTCGTCGAACACATGGAGTGCATGACCAAATCGGGGGGATTTTGACTTATTCCGAGGCCAAGGTCTACTTCGGTGGCTACAACTCGCCTCCGATAGTGAGTATAGACTGGGATTAAGGACGGTATGGGCTGAGATTTGTGCGAAACGGCCGGCGTGAGTCCCGGCCCACCTGCATAAGAAAATAGGGGATAATGGGGAGCCAGGAGGACTTGCTGGTCAAGGTTGATTCTGGGGGATCGCCGGTCGGTCTTCGGGCAACGGCGAGGCCGGCTGGCTTCCTCTTCAGTTCCTTCAAACGCTCAGTTTCACATTTGCTCTCAGTCTCACT